AGCATATCCAGCCATTGAGCCTGCGCGAAAATCAAAAAAAAAATCCGCGTAGACCCCGCATCTGGCAACCAGCTGGCACACACACACACACACACACTCAAACACACCCTGACGTGGATTTGAATATAGGGACCAATGAAATGGATGGGTGTTCATGTTGGTTTCCCTTTCTACTAAGCTGAAAAGGGTAGTTGCCCTTCCAAAACAGACAACAGCACAGTGTCTCTCGCGCACGCGCGCGCGCGCGCGTTTGCACGTAGAGGGTCATCCCCACGTCCCTCTCCAGCCTGTGCTTGAGAACAGCGTCGCAAAACTGTAACCTCCAGGTCTACCACACTGTCCGGGTGAAACACCTCCGGTGCGACTTCGCACCTCAGATGGCTCGACTCACCGAAGGTGCGCCTCACAGATCGCAGACCAGTTTGGGAAATATGATCTGAAGGACAAGGGGGGGGCCTGGCTACTTTCAGCACTCAAGTTCCAGAGACGCTGCGTGCATCTGGGCGGCAGCAGCTTGGGGTTGGCATCACCTGGCAAAGCCCAAAGCCACTCTGCGGAGCAAACTGGGACCCTCCCGCCCCACCCTTCAGAGCCTTTTGGGCTTCTTGGTTCATGGAGGGTGCTCTGAAACCGTGAAATCTTCCCAGTTGCGGGCGGTGCTCTGGAAAATCGATACCACAAGGTTCCTATCAGACCGCTCTGAAGCCAATGATATTACTTCCTGAAAGCAGTAAAGATCGGTAATTACCATCGATCAGCCAAACTGATCAATTTGAACGCCGATGTTCGACACTCAGTTTAGCCAAGTGGCTGGATAAAGGCCGCTGATCCACAGTCAGCATCTGTGCCCGCTGGGAGATACCCGTTGCTTCCTGCGGAGTCGATCGCCGTCTGCTTACGGTTCAACTCCGAAGTGGAAACATTGGGCACCATTCCGCGGCCAGGGAAAACAAACGTTCATGGAGGCTCCCCTCCAAAACCAGGAAGCACTCAACAGCGGCAGGCCTCCACCTTCCTGCGGAGCTTTTCCACTGTGGTGGCGCTCTCCACATCTATGCCTTGCGGCTTGCGGTGCTTCGCGGCTCGACCGCGCGCGCACGCGAGCGCTTCGCACTGCCAAAGCATATCTATGCGACCGGCGCCTCCCACCCAATTCAAAATGTGGCCATGGGTCAAAATCCGGTACCCCCGGCGAGCATCCCAATCCCCACTAAAATAGACCAAAATGGGTGGTGCGCCTACCCCAAAATGGTACCATTGGTTTTGGACCCACAGCCATGTCAGCACGAGATGCTAATGGAAGTAGCACTCAGCCCTACAGTGAGCTGGACGGTGACAGAGCTCCTGCCCTCCTGAGCACAAAGCTCCGAACAGAGAAGAACAAAAAGGCCAGTTTGCGCAATGCAAAACAAGCTGAAGCAAATCACACGAAACATGACAAAGCAAAGCTTGGCTGACTTTCTCAACCACACCGGACACACGAATTTGCCGATTCCGGCCACGGAGCAGGGCGTGCGCGCCGCAGTTCCAACGACTGGGCACGTTTGCGCAGCGGCTTGCCTGCCAAACCACACCGCCAGCCAGTGGCCAGCGGTCCAAATGATGGTACCCTCATTGGGGCTGTTGGGGCTGCACCGCATCTCATACTTCAAGGCTGTTCCGAAATTCCGAAAGGCGGCAGAAAAAGGCGATTTTGTTTAGAGTCCTCCACAATTCACGGCCCTCTTCAATGCGGTTTGGAGAAGAAGAGTAGAACCCTTGTCCTAGTTGTTTACAGCAGCCGAGTGGATCCCGGTTTTGCTGTAGGCAACCAGCTCCTTTTGGACCAAAAACAGGGTGGTTCCCCCACATGACTTGCTTCACGGGAAATGGATCACTCGGCACGGGACAAGGGGCCTTCGTCAGCTGGGTTTACCCCTCAAGCTGCCCAAAGTCTCATCCCCTTTCACAGCAGCTCGGAGGTCATTTTGCGAGCCTCTGAAGAAACAAACTTCCTCACTTGATGGCCCCCCCAGGGAAAAAGTGAGAAGCCAACTTGGAGGTCGCTCGGCTAGAACGAAATGAGCGCGGCTCCAGCATCCTCACTAAAACCACCATGCAAAGTCGTGCAGAACCGCCTCCACATGGCCAGTGAATAAAAAAAGTCGGTGGCCCTCTACTTTTGAGGGAAGCCAACCGCAATGAGGGAACCGCTTGGGCTTCCTTTTTTGTTCTTCTTTTTTTTTTGGGGGGGGGGTGGGGGGTGGGAGCAACAACACCAAGCTGGGCACCAAGAGTCCCTCCAAGCCAACACCTAGCTCTGCCTGAGGCCGTCCCCTCGCCGTGCTGCCAGGTGCCGCTCCGCTTCCGCGGCTCCATCCGATGCCTCCGCCCGGAGGATTCGGAGGCATGGGGGGGGGGGGGGGGGACTTGGGGGTGGGGTGGGGGGGGAGTTGGGGATCGTTGGGGGTGATTGGGTTTGAATTTCTGTGCCCTTGGCTGAAGGCGGCCCACACAAACCACAAGCAACCCGGAGCACATTTTAGGTCCATGTGGGTCTGTCCCCTATCTCGCTGTTTGGAATGGTTGAGGAAAAAGAGCAGAACCCATGTTGCGACCGGGCCCGCTTCCCCGTCCCGTCCCGTCCTTTGGGGCAAGGCGTCTGCCCTGAACCAAAGGCTGCGGAGTGTCAAGCCGGGCTGAGTCGATCAAGGCACAGGAAGAACCCCATGCGGCGAGTCTGAAGTATCTTTTCTGAAAGCCGCTTCTGTTGACGGAATCTGTGCTTCATGGCTCAAACATGTTTCTCTATTTCGCAACCTTCTGTCTTTCACGGCTTGGGCCTGCAAGTGGCCATCCCCTTGCTCCAGAAACACCCCGGAAAGGTTCCTGCCACCCTTGTAGAACAGCCCAAGAACAGGAAACCAAAAAAAAAAGAAGAAACGGGCAAGAGCAACCCCCCGTTGGAGCAACATGGAAACCGCAAAGAGGGTGGGCTTTTCTTGGGTCCACGTTCGGCTGTCGTGGGCCACAAGCGAGGCCCGACCACCGGCCTCGCATGTCCCTTTTCAACGTCCTCACACAAAGTGTAAGCAAAAGGGCCTCGGCTTTCTTGAGGACCCTTTTTTGGTGTTGCTTGAAAGGGACAACCAAGAGGAAACCACCCCGTTTGAGGTATCGATCCCCTTAACGCAGACCCAGGAACCCCACGAACGCCGCCGTTCCCTTTTCCTGAGGCGCTCTTTTTTTTGCGCGCAGACACGCGCATTTGTCTCAGGAGTCCCCGAGTCGCCTGGGTCGCCTGGCCTGCTGCTCTGCCGCGGCCATGGCGTCCTGACGCAAAAGCGGCATCCTGGATAACCACTCACAGACTGTGCTTCGCTCAAAGTTGCACTGAGTGTCTGTGTGAGGAAAACTCCTTGTTGAAGCAAAACACAAAAAATCAATGCGACCAACCTCAAACTGCACACCTCATCAAACAAAAAGCATAGGTTTCACACCGAACCATACATCACGCTCTTACGAACTTCGCCCTTTTTTTCGCAAACACTCCTCCCCCCTTCCGCCAGCTCCCCACCCCCGCCCCCCTTCAAAGCCCCTGAACCTCCTCCCCCCCCACCAGCTCCACAGCTCCCCAGCTCCCCCCAGCTCCCCCCAGCTCCCAGCTCCCCTCAGCCCCCCAGCTCCTCGATCTCCGGGTCCATGCCACTGGCCTCCCGCTCCATGCGCCGCTGCCGCGCCCGGCGCTGCGCGGCCCGCGCCACCGCGCGCTCCGCGAAGACCGCGGCCCGGGGCACCGGCGCCCCCCGGGACCGCGCCTCCGCCTGTGCCGTGGCGGATTCAGGCGTAGAGTCAAGGCTCCCGTTCGGAGCTCCCCTAAAAATCCAGTCCCCCTGGACGCGTTGTTTGAGTCAGCTCGGTTTGAGCCAAGGGAATCAAGCACATTTGCTTGACGAAACTCCTCTTGGCCTTTTGGGGCCACCTTCCAACCACCAGTTCGACTTGAAGGGGAGAACCGCGTCCCCCCGACGGATTGCCCGGGCCAGCGTCTGGCTGATGTCGGCCAGCACCTCCTCATCCGCCTCTAGGCCCTCCCGCTCCAGGTGCGCCCGGACAGCCTGGGCCATGCCCGCAGCCTCCCGGGCCCACCGCGCACGCAGCTCCTGGGAGATTGCTCAATGGACGCAACCTAACACCCAACCGTCCAGCTCTCCCCAAGCCAAAAGACACTCCCCTCCCCCTCCCCACCAAAGCCAAAAAAAAAAACACACCCCCCTTCCCCAAAAGCAACAATGGGCGTGGTGTTCAACCCGGATCCATCGCCTTTCCACTCGCTCCTCGGCGTTCTCCATCGGCCCCGCCGGCGTTGCCGCCGCGGCGCGCGCCTGCGCGGCCACGGCCTCCGCCATGGCCGGCGGCAAGCCCATGGCCTGCAGCTGCTGCACCTCCATGCCTCCGATCCAGGAGAAGGCGACGTGCAACAGCTGAGGAAAAAAGGCGGGGACAAAACGCAGAAGGAGCGCTAAACCCCCCCTTGAAAAAAGAAAGAAGTGGCGAAGGTTGCGGAGCCACTGGAAAGAAGGATTGGCCAAAAGGGGGGCTGTTTGTGTCTTTGCTTTTTTCTTTGCTGGTCTCCGTGAATTGTTTCTTGGCTTCTCCGTCCCGGCCTGCGTCATAGCCCCAGGCCATTGGCATGGCGCCTGCCCAGGCGACCCTCTTTTGCCGGTCGGTTCAAGGGGGGGGGGCTCCTCAAGGCAGGAATGTGCCGGGCTGTTCCTAGGCGCAGGGTCCAGATGCTGGACGCGATGTGCATCAAGAAACTCTCATCCACCCGCCCCACCCCCAGCCCACTTCTCCCTTTCCTGCCCAAGATCGTTTCCCCTCTTTCCCTGTTGAGATCCTTTCCCCCCTTTCCCTTTCAAGGCCTTTTCTCCCTTTTCCTCCCTAAGATCTTTTCCCACCTTTCCCCCCTCTAAGATCTTCTCCCCCCTTCCCCCCCCCCCCCCAACCCCCCCCCCCCCCACAACCCCACCCCCAGCCCACCGGCGCGCCCCACGCCGTCCCTTGCTGCGCGCCCCGCCTGTGGACACCTCCTCCACCGGCGCCGGCGCTGCAGCCGCCGCCGCCGAGGCCGGCTGCCGCCGCGCCAGGCGTAGCAAGGAGCCAGCCCCCACGCCGCAGGCGTCCACCCGAAGGCCGTCCTACAGCTCAGGGGCCGGGAGATTCCACCCGGAAATCCCTGGGCTTTTTCTGGGCCCCAGAGACTTTCCAGCTAAAATCCAGGAAATGTGTTTGTTTTCTTTTTTGGAGGGTGTTTAGCAAAAATGTCCTGCAGGGATGTCCTGTGGCTGGTTTCTATGACTGACTTGCACCACAATGATGGAACTGGTGGTTAATATTGGGCCCCCTTACAACCAATTGGAAGGATCTCTGCACAAATGTCCAAACATGCATCCTTCTTCCAAACCTTCGCCAACTATAAAGTAACCGTCTACGCGTTTGGGGCAACACTCGAAAACGAAGTCGAAACAAGATTGTTTTTGTCTATGAGTCAGCCTGGCAGGAAACTTGACCAAGGGTGAAGGAAAGTCAAGGCAGAACTCGTCAGCCTTTTGTATAATACGGAAACATTAAAGTACGGTGACCTAGTCCAAACCGGCCTAGGCACGGCCTTTCACATGACCCACCTTTTGATTCCTGCAATCAGGCACCACAGTTAAGTTCTACAACAAGGTTCTACCACCTTTCATGTTCGACAAAAAACGTGTTTGACACTGAACACGGGTCGGACCGCACATGTCAAACTTGCACCTCTGCGCTGCCATTGCGGTCAGAAAGAACTTTTCCCCGGGATTCCAGAAACACCTGCAGAATAAGCACTTTACATCCAGACCTTGAGGGCAAAAACAAGAGCTGCCAGAACGTCTTTTGCCGGCGGTACCCCGAGTTCCACCAGACACCTTCAAACGGAGCATGTTCACAAACTACTTGATGAGGAACTCAAGAACCCCGCCGTAGAAAATAGGTCATGGAAGCAAATACGAGAGCACGGCCCGGTACAATGTTTCAAGAGAAAGCGGCTAGAATAAGGTGATGGAGACGAATTGACTTCAACCACCTGGATCACCCATTGTAACACACATGTGTGCTACGTAAAATGCGTATTCGAGCCAGGACTTTCTGCTCGATGCTTCGAGGGCGTTTTGTTTTGGAGGGAGGCGAGCAATTGCTACGTTAAAAACAAAAACAAACCTGCGGCTACTTGCGCTCGTTTTGCGGATATTTGCGATCATGTTGCACCTCGATTTCTGCTCGCTTCTTTCAGCGACCGATCATATTGGAGCACCGATCAGCCCGGTTTTGGGAAGAACGCTGGAAGTAGGAAGAAGTGTACATTTACCAGATTGTTGTGACGACCGTTGGTTTTTCACTACGCTTGGGCCCAGGGCAATTTAGGAACGAAGGGCGCTCCCAGCATATATTCTAACTCCAGTAAACTAACTCCAGTAAACTAGAAATTTCACAAGGTGGCTGGAGTAATGTGATGGAGACTAATTGAACATCAACTGTATGTTCTACTTGCAGTAAACTTGAAATCTCACAAGAAATAGAAACGTTGAAAACAACTGGCCCTGAATGGTTGCTGCGCTGAATCAATTACAAGACTACCAGAAGACGTGGCCCGTGTGGTACAATCTTCCCGCAGCCCCCGCGCAAACAACAACCTTGCCTCCTCCCAATGTATGGCATCACAATCATACCCCCCAAAATATATATAATATATATATATATATATAGATATGTGTGTGTGATTGTATAAAACTGCCCCCCCTCCAAAAAAAACTGTCCTTCAGGATCTTGCCCTTATGGAGCAGGTGGATCTCCTCGACCTGCAGGCCAGACATCTTCGCGGCTTTCTCTCGCAACTGCTCCACGGTGTCGCCGGAGGACACCTGGGAGATTGCCACGGGCATCTCCGGGACCAGATTGCCAGCGGTTCCCCATATCTCCAATTGAAACAAATCGCCCCGCCTGAATTTGAAAGGAAACTGGATTTGGCCCAAAGGGTGAGAGTTTAGAAGGCGCGTTTAAACAAATCACATCGAATATGAAAACAAAACTCACTTGAATTTGGCTTTTGCCCAAAGGGTGATAGTTTAAATGCAGTGAAACTGGTTCAAGTGGACTTGTTAGACCGGTGTCCTCCCCTTTCTGGCCGGGTTGGCTCGTCGAGGGCAATCCCGGGCTGCTTTGGCCATGAACTATATGAACTATGAATAGGGAACCCCCTCACAAGTGGTTGGTGGAAACAATCCCCACTTCCACCAAAGAATCCCAAACTAAAGTCCCTTGCCATGCCAATACTTTGACGCCCTTCCTCCAGCTGCGTGTCCAGCCCAGGGCCCTTCAGCTGAACTTCCATTCCCGTGGAAGAAACTGGCGCGGGCGGCGTCATGCCTTTGGCAATGTGCACCACGTCCCCGGTGTTGAGGCCCACCGAAACCAGCATCTCCTCATCTTTCAGCACGCGGCCTTTGGAGATCACCTTCATGACCTGGAAATGAAACAACCGCCGCTTTGGGGGGGGGCTGAGAAGTGGAGGCGGGTGGTTGCCGAGGTTGGCGACTTGGAGGGAGTTTTGTTTTTTGACGACTTTTTGAATGACTCTGAGAGAGAGGGAGAAGTTTTGATTGGGTTTTGCTTGGGGTGTTGAGGGATGCAAGGAAGCCTGAAAGCAGAAAAACACACTTATCTCGAGAGGCTTCACTAGCCGAGATGAAAACCGCAGTCAGTAAAAATGCTCGAATGCAAATGCAAATCAACAGGTCACAACATCGACACCGAACCGGAAGCAACAGCAACAAACAGAAACCGCAAAAGGAATCAGGAAAGAGGTTCAGGAAATAGGCAGGTACGTCGGATTGATCAGATCCGATATCCCATGACTGAGGTAGCTTCGTTGAGTGCGGTCCCTCAGTCATGCCGCACTCCCCTGCTTAACGTCCGTGTTCCAGGACGGTTCACACACACAAGGCCCCGGTGGGGCGGACACGAACTACACAGAGGGGATTCCATCAGGGGACCGACAAAAACCCCGCGGCAACAGCAAAATAATTTCAAGGACAAAAAACCGGGCGCACAAAACCAAGCAGAGGGAATTCCACCAGGGGACCTCCAAAAACCCCCGGCAACGGCAAAACATTTTCAAGGACGAAAAACCCGAGCACACAAAACCAAACCGAGGGAATTCCACCAGGGGACCGACAAAAAACCCCGCGGCAACGGAAAAAGGTTTTGCAAGAGACGAAAATGGCAGCCAAAGCGTGAACGTGAATTGAACTGATCTGGGTCGGCGCAGTGCGTGAACCAATGAACTGCAAAGTCGGTGTCTGACCGGCTTGTCACTTGCGCATGAAGCTTCCGGAGCCTGATACCTTATGAGAGCTGCCTTGTTCGAAAGGCAGGCAGTGCAATGCGAATGAAGCTGCGGAGCCTGATACCTCATGAGAGCTGCCTTGTTCAAAAGGCAGGCAGTGCAATGCGAGGTTGAACTGAACGTGAACTTTTGAACGTCATCCCCTTGCAGGGGGCTCCCGCATATGGCGAGTCCAGCCCACAGCGCCATGTCGGACAGGCCGTGGGTAAACACACTTATCTCGAGAGGCTTCACTAGCCGAGATGAAAACCGCAGTCAGTAAAAATGCTCGAACGCAAATGCAAATCAACAGGTCACAACATCGACACCGAACAGGAAGCAACAGCAACAAACAGAAACCGCAAAAGGAATCAGGAAAGAGGTTCAGGAAATAGGCAGGTACGTCGGATTGATCAGATCCGATATCCCATGACTGAGGTAGCTTCGTTGAGTGCGGTCCCTCAGTCATGCCGCACTCCCCTGCTTAACGTCCGTGTTCCAGGACGGTTCTCACACACACACACACTTAAATCCCACAAGGGGTAGACACCAAGTTCGAGTAAATCAAGCAAGAAGGAGAGGGGCAGATTCGAGACAGGCTTACGTGTGTTCTGAAGCAAAACCAAAAACACCGCAGAACCAGAGCCAATGGTCTGCTGCAAAAGCAACAAAGTCCAACATCACGAGAAGTTGTGGCTCAAATTGAAAAGCAGGTACGTCACCAGGCGTCCCTGGTGATATCCTCAGGCCACTGTGGAGAGCTTTGCTAGATGGAGCTCCACAGGCCTGCTCCATCCCCCTGCTGCAGCTTGTGAAATGGTTCCAAAATCTGGAACTCGGCACACACACGCTCCTAGCAGGAAGGCAGTTCAGGAGCCAAAATAGCGAGACGTCCAGGTGATCTAGAACGGACTCTAGAAGTCAGGGCGTCCTCAGGTGTCGGGGCTCCGCGCGCACAATCATGAGACCTCCAGGGTGGTTGACGCCAAATGCCGCGAGTACCAAAACAGACACACAAACTCAGGTATAGCAAGAGATGCTAAAATGCAAGCAATCTCATTACAACTGCACTGATCAACTTGAAAGCAAGATGCAAGTCAATTCAATTCTGGGATTAACGCAAGACACGCTCGATTTCAAATCCGGCAACTGATGAGCTTCAAATCCCTTGTCCGTATGGACTGGAGCAGTTGCACGATTATATTGATCTTATGGACGATCTCCCGGAGGATCACCAACATGCTCTCTCCGTCACTCGCCATGGGATCACAAGGACAGATGGTTCCGCGAGGGACTCCTATTGCTACAATGCTCGGCAAGACATAGAAGCGAGTGTTGCCGACACTGATGACCGACTCATGAATCCAGAAATCCGAATATGCTGTCCCAACTCTGCAAACGGGTTGAAAGTGTCGAAAGGGACATTGATGGGCGTTCAGGACGACCAGAAGGATGGTGAAGCTACACAAGTCCGCCTCGCTCATCATCGTGATGTTCACGTCGATGTGTACGAACTGCAGAAGCCGGGGTCAGGATGATGCTTTGGCCCTGGGTTCGTCTGGATGTGGGAGATCGAAACCGCGTCGGTGCATGCGTCACTGCGGGAGGAGGGCCACGGCGTGTAAAAGAGGAAGTAGGTGCCATCTGTGCACTTTGCTCCAGGCCGACATGCGTGGCGAGGTGCTCCTGTCTCATTACAGCGAAAGTTCAGGTTGAACTTGCGTTGCATCGTCAAAATCACCCATGGTCCAGGCTCAAAGATCTTGATCCATTGATGTTGAGGTTGTAGAGGATCCGGGCACCACTCCACCCACGGCGTGCCGAAGACTACACACTAAACAAGTTTCAGTCACACGCCCGCGGCTCGGAGCTCTTTGCGCGGTGAAAACTGCCTTTTCGGGGAGCCAGGGAGCGCTATCTGACTCGGAGTTTGATTGGAATGTGTAAGTGTTGACAGATGGATGATCGTGACAGAAAAAGGTAAGTTGAGAACATGGGTGCTCCCTCACTGGGCGTTGTTCAGCCACACACCCCAGGTCAAATACGAAGAGGGGGGAGCTCCACTCCATACTCCATCAGGCACCGAAGCGTCCAAATGTGCAGGAGGCGGGGTGACAACTGGCACATCAAGCCGTGTGAGCAAAGCAGACGCCGTTGACGGACAGAGGCACTGCCACCCGACGGTGGTCCACTCGCAATAGTACCAAACTGGTGCATGGTCATCCAACCATGTAGCCGTGGGACTCGAAGAAGGAGTAGCCAGCTGTCTCCAGTTTATCACACCCTCCACTGACAATAAACCAGAGGATGAGAAATTATTTGGCAGTCATCCTGCGTCTCATCCCATTTGGTCCAGGTGAAAAGTACACCCGCACCCATTCAGTTGGCTCATGATCATCCTCCATGCAATAGTACTCGACAAAGGGAGCGGTGCGCGACATGGCAGAAAGACAGGAACGCAAGATGACACGAAATGACACTCACCAATGGCTCAAACTACAAATCAGATCATCACGCAAACAAAGCCCTCAACACGAAGCGGAATGACAACATGGAAGAGTGACGGGTAGAATTTGCGTGAGAGGTCGAAGAACTGATCCTTCATCGACGCGTACATGATGTCCTGAAGGTCAGGGAAGACCCGTTGAAATTGCTGATTGATCACCAGGTGTTCGTGCGCGACGATGCGGTCTCCCTGGAGAACACCACAACACGGAATCCATCGCCGTTGCCAGCATCTGTCACCCAATGTATGATGCGGACACGTGGTAGATGGAGTCGTGGGAACAGATCCTGATGAGAGTGAACCCACTGTTGAAACCAGAGACCAAGCTCCTTCTTCCAGTCTGGTACACATAGAGGAGGTAGCATGACCTTGTGCGAGGAGGAAGGGAGTGCGAACGAAAGCGAATAGCAGACTGCAGCAGTTTGCAAGCTTTTGCTCGAAAAGGCTCAGATATGAAAAGGGTTAGTCTGAGCAAGTCGTAGAGCTGTGCAGCTGGAAAAGCTGCAGATCTCAATTCTCTGAGAGCTTGGGCGTCTCGTCGCGGGTCCTGATGAACTCTGCGAGGAAGAAGAGGGTGTAGTCGTCGTTGAAGGCGTTTGAGCAAAGTCAGAGAAGTGGGAGCATGTAGAGCATGCTGACGAAAGTCCGTGAGGTGGTCGTGAAATCCCAACCGGGCTAGTATACGATGTATCCATGGTGCTTTGAGTTGCGGCTTAAGCGTGTACTGCCAAGCGCTTTCAATCATTGTAGCACCGTCGGCCGAGGTGGTTGATGACCAGGCGGTATGCCATCAATGCTGATGTTGTGGCTGAGGAGACGCAACCTGGCGGTATCCTTCAGTGGTCCAGTCTCGTCGATACCATACTGGTTGCCGGTCACTGTTGCCATCCGCTGGTGGTTCATTGCTCATAACTGTTATCCAGGAGATACCAGCTCGACCGGCAACGGCGAGAACAGCCAATAAGTGTTGGTGCGATGCCAGTAATGAAACGCTGGCTCAAAATAGGCATGTTGAGTTAGTAGTTGTTGAAACTTGCGAAACCTAGAGTGTTCACGTTGGAGAATACTCTTGGCGGTGGCTCCCACATAGATCGGAGAATGAAAGGAGAAGTTGAGAGTAACTGATTGGATCAGTGGCGGATCCTCGCAGATCACGAATTTTTGAGATCAGTAGCTGCGCTTGCTTCTGCGACATATACTCGGAGTGAAATCTGCACCAGCAATGTGTTTTTGAAGAATAAGAGCATTTCCATGGTATCCGGAGAATAGCCAACAGTGAGGACTGCAGCCCGTTGAAAAAGGGTGAGCAGCACGTAGCAGGAAAGGCGTGCCTTGTAGAGCATAAGAGTGTGTGATCGAGGGTGGGATGTGTGTCCAAAATCGCGTTCATGAAGATCAAGAACCATACGTACCAAAATCAGAGACGACGATGCCACTTCATGTTCAGTGAATCGGCGTAGTACGTCAAGTTCGTGATCAGGTGGTAGAGGAACAGGAGCGTCAGGGCGTACATACCGCCACAGTGTATACATAGACTCAAACCTGACAAGAGCAGAAACATGACTCCAATCGACATGTGCGAGCAACACACCCGATTATCCATTAACTCATGAGAGTGTCTACCCCGTGTCGATGTAGGTGAAGAACCGCTTGGCATGGTAGCAGAGGGACGCCTTGCTGACACTTCCCCATCGTGGTGTCGACCTGGATCAACTTCATCAGGAGGGTGAACAGCAAACCGATGGCTGAACAAGTTTGGTAAGCAGTCGAGCTCCAACAATCAACACTGCGAGTGGCTTGTCATGGAGTTTAGCGGTGTAGATCGGCTCGGCCCCCCACATGGACGCCATTGCAGACAGGGATTCCGCTTCATGCTTTGGGATCTTGTTGTAGGTTTGGAAAAAGTGGTTGACCTTGGACTCAAACTCTTTCTTGGTGAGCGGTGATTCACGGTCCGTCAATCTCGGGACGAACCAGTTGACGAATGGCGCCATCGTAGAGCTAGAAGGGGCACTGTGGCGTAGCGGTCGTGCAAAGGATGAGTTCCACGTGTAGTAGTCAAGCAACTCCAATGGTGAGCTGGCTTGATCAGGATGTCAATCCTTGGTCGCTTGTGTATCTCCCCACGCAGTGAGGCCAGGACTGGCGCTAATCGTGTCGTGTAGGATTCGCCATCCTTGGCTGCGGCACTGACGGTTGGCAATGAGGATGACGACGGAGGCGAGGTGTTCATAATCTTGGTCGATCCATAGATGCGTCGGTCGGTTTGTTCTGAAAGTCAAGCTGGGCTTTGCGCACGGTGTTGTCACGGGTGATTCCTGCTGGGCACGGGAAAGCGCATCAATGATCTTCAAGGAGAGATGCTCATGGATTTTGATTCGTTGACCAAAATCATTGATGTCACAACCAAGGAAAGCGGCGGCATCCTTTTCAAGCTGAATGATGTCCACGGAGCGTCCTGACCATAATGTTTTGGATGAGTAATGCTTCTGCTCTGGATCGGAATCCTTCCAAAGTGACAAAGCGTCCGTGACTCATGGGCCGGAGGAGCCAATTTGCGAGTCCACGGTGTATGACCTGGATTAGCTTGATGTCCTCCAAGCGAAGGCCGCCGACGCCAATGGACTGGGTATGGGGTGTGTTTGCCATTTTGTCCGGAAACGAAAGCTGGTACACCTCACGTGTATCGCGGAAACATGGGGAGCTGTTCCATTCCGCTGGTTCTGCGAAGAGCGTGTTCACCGATGAAGCAGCCGAGGTGGTGGATTGACGTGGAACAGTTCCAGCTTGATATGGGACTGCCGTCCTCGGTGGCATCGGTGTCGTCGATGTCTGTGAGATCACCGGCCGGTCCGGTGAGGGACGTGATGACGTAGTACCGGCGGCGGTGCTGGCGGAAAGACTGGAGTGCAGGGGCTGACGCTCACAAAGCTGTCCATGTGAGGCAGTGAGTACAGAAGATGCCCATGTGGAGTGTGCTGGTAGTTCGGCGGAAAGGAGACTCCCTGGGGTTGATGATGAAGAGGTAAGGTTGCCTGATCAGTCCAACTCCGTTCTGTGTCGGCATTCACCTCCTTGACAGGGGAAGTAGACCGGCGTCTTCGACCATGTCGATGCCTGGATCTGGAGCGCGAATGATCACGCCGCGGCATGAAGTCAACGATGAGGGAATCAATCACACTGATCAGAGACTGAGCCAAATGCACTGAATCCAAGTCCGAATGATCCAAGCGGAAATCAACGAACGGCACTAAGGGAGAAGCAGAGACACTCAAACCCGCCTTGTTGATCTTGAAGGTGAAACTTCCACACAAGTGAATCAGTCACACTGAGGTCACACAACTGAGGTTCATATCACTGAGGTTAGTATCTCTGAGGTGAGTATATCTCAGGTTACCGTGAACGACTGAGTGACTCCGCTAAGCGGGCCCGCGGTCACTCTCTGGGTACTCGCGAGGATCTCCCTCTCGGGATGTCACACTTAAATCCCACAAGGGGTAGACACGAAGTTCAAGTAAATCAAGCAAGAAGGAGATGCAAAAGCAACAAAGTCCAACATCACGAGAAGTTGTGGCTCAAATTGAAAGCAGGTACGTCACCAGGCGTCCCTGGTGATATCCCCAGGCCACTGTGGAGAGCTTTGTTAGCTCTGCTCCATCCCCCTGCTACAACTTGTGAAATGGTTCCAGGGTAAATCTGGAACTCGGCACACACACACACACACGCCTCAGGGTCCAGGTCGCAGAAGCCCGCGGCAGCGATCTTCAGGCCCAGCACCGCTGCGGAAGTTTCCAGCTCCACCTCCGGTGTGCACACCGGTTCTCTCGGAGACCCAGGGGGGGGAGGGGGGGCGGGGCGGGGTGGTGGGGATGGCGGGGTTTGCCTCTTAAGTTCCCGTGTCGGGGGCAAATCCGGGATTTGGAAACTGGACATCTGCCTCTGTGAAAGCGAAGGGTCGAGGGGAAAAAACGGAACTCTCGGGCTTGCCCGAACGCAACCGACTTTGGCTCGCTCCGCCTGGAACTCCCCGCCGCAGGCCCGCACCTGCAGCCGCAAAGACATCTCGCCCCGGCCTCGCACTAAGGCTGCCGGCGCCGGAAAATCCCTCGAATTCGAATCTGAGCCGAGATGTCCCCCGGCAGGGCGCCCTGAGTTGAAGTTATCGCTGCTACGAGTGAGTTGCAGGGCGACTTGTTCGAGTCGGCCAAACGTCGCTGAATCTTTTTTGTGCGGCTACCCTTCTTGGCTGAGGCTGCACGTGGACAACAACTGGTCGAGAGAAGTGCTGGAAATTCCTCACTCGCGATGTCCGCCAAAAAACACACGTTGCACTGCATCCCTGGACAGTGCAATGTCTGCCTGCTGTCAATGGCCGAAACCCGAAGCGGGCACGGACAACCAGGCACAAAAACAGGGCCCGAGTGAATGAGAACCCCTCGAATGACCTCTGCTCATTTTTCTTGATTGCTCCATTCGAAATTCATTGTGGCTTCTTGGGAAGCCAAGGGCGAGATGGAATCGATGTTCAAAGGATAAAATGGGCGTCTGTCACTACAGGGGGCCCCAAAAGTGGGGTTGTTCCCTTTGACAGGCGTCAATTGAAGATGGAAGCTGACGGAGGGTCCCTTTACCGGGTACCAGGTACCGTGCTTGTTCTTGGGAAGAAGCCCCCTGAGGTCGCCTGCGTAAATCAAACAAAAATTCACGGCTTTGTCCAACAAAGACTTGGAGGCTCGGAATCCCCCGCTTCGAAACCACCGTCTTGGGCGAGGCCTCGCCGCAGGTCGGAATGGCCAGGCCTCGCAGAGAAAAAGCACAGCTTTGGGTGAGACCAAGCGGCACGTGAGAACTCAGGTTCGTACCCTCGACCCACAAAATGGCGGGTTTAGTGTTTAGTGATAAGAGATGAACACAGATAAAGAGGCCTGTGTCTGCTTTGGTGCTGGACTCAAAAGAGGCTGGAGGGGCTTTTGGTTTTGAACCCTTGAGCAATCAAAAACATTCATCTGTTTTGGCCGCAGATTGGAAGGACAGGGGTAGAGCCGACCAAAGATCTGCAGCAAGCCTCAAAGCCCAACGTCGCCCAAGCCCCTTTCGATCGCCACACGCATGCTGCGACACATACTGGGCGACCCGCGTCCTTTGGCTTTAGGCAAGCTTGCTTATGCTCAGCAATCCTTCAGAACAACAATTAGCCTCTTGTGTTCCATGGCTTCACACACCAATTGGACACAGGCCTGTAAGTTCAGACCTCGCTTTGTGCGGTCCGCCGGGCCCAGAAAGAGATTGAAGCTGCACAAGCTTACTCCAAACAGACTCCAGCCTAATTGGACCCAAGCCAAGCTGGAGTTCTCAACCCATACCCGGCTCTTTCCAGGCACGGCAGCAAATGGCGATTCGCTCACCACTTCTCGGGCTTCTCCCACAAGGAGTCCCCGGTCTCCGAGTTCCAATAGTAACTCAGCCTCAGCTCAAAGAGCCGTCAACTGCCAATAATAATGCGTGAGCCACGCATCACTTGGCACCCTCCGCTTTCCCTTTCAAACAAGCATCCGATACTCCTCAGAGAAGTGGATTTCCCATGGGGGTGGCGGCTTCTCCTCCTTCTGCGCCTGCTGCTGCTGCTGCTGCGGCTGCTGCTGCTGCTGCGCCTGCTGCTGCTGCTGCCGCTTCTGCTGCGGCTGCTGCTGCTGTGGTTGCTGCCATGCAGAGGCCTGCTGCTGTTGCTGCTGCCATGCCGAAGTCTGTTGCCGCTGCGGCTGCTGCTGCTGTGGTTGTTGCCATGCAGAGGCCTGCTGCTGCTGCTGCTGCTGCTGCTGCTGCTGCTGCTGCTGCTGCTGCTGCTGCTGCTGCTGCTGCCATGCCGAAGTCTGTTGCCGCTGCGGCTGCTGCTGCTGCTGCTGTGGTTGTTGCCATGCAGAGGCCTGCTGCTGCTGCTGTTGCCATGCAGAAGTCTGTTGCCGCTGCGGCTGCTGCTGCTTTGGTTGTTGCTGCCATGCAGAGGCCTGCTGCTGCTGCTGCTGCCATGCCGAAGTCTGTTGCCGCTGCTGCTGCTGCTGCAAAGCAGGCTGCTGGTTGTGCTGCAGCTGCTGCTGCTGCCACGCAGGAGCCTGGTTGTGATTCCTTCGGCGAGGGGCCAGCATCTCAAAGTCGTGATCAAATAGTTGTGAGGGGCCCAACACACAACCGGCATCGGGAAAACACAGCGAACATCCCCAAGCCATGCCTGCCCACAGGCGTGCGCGAGCGATCTGTAGAGGTGCCGGAGCTGCCTGCCAGTGGCTGCAAGATCCATCTTTCATGACCTCCTCCCAAGTTTTCTGACGTTGCCCACACAGTTTGTGTAGCCCAACCTGCGCGGCACTCAAGTAAGCATTAGACCGGTACGGCCACCAAACCAGCCAGGTGTCAGAATCATGTCTGACAGATTAAAAAACACACGCGCATCGAGGCATCGAAGGCAAAGCGGTTCGCGTTCCGCCCGGAAAAATGTAACCCACCCGCTTGCTTCACCTCAACCCGCACCCTCAAAAAGCCCGCCTTGCCAGCTACTGTCGGCTTTCCAGTCCCGCCACTTGTCCTTCTGCCAATCCTGCCCCCAGTCGTTCTGCTGCCAGTCCTTTTGCCAAATCTTGTCATCGAGTAAGGCATGGCATAGATGGCATAGCTTTGGGGTCTGTGCTGAATCACTGCCAGTCAAACGGAATTTGTCACACACACACACATGAGCGCGTCTCAGCTTCCTCCTACTTGGGGGGTGTGTTTGATAGCCTTCCCCATTTGGTTTCAAAAGGAGTCAGCGTTCAAATCCCCAAGCCACCAATCCAAACGACCAATGGGGAAGCTGAAGCACCAGTCAGCAAGAGAAACACACGCATTCTCCTTGCTTGCGGCCTGGTTCCAGCTCGAGCTCTCCTCCTTGCCACTCTGGCTCCACGCCTCTCCCAACAAGATGCTCGGTTCTCGGTGGCTTTCCCAAAGCAAGGAGCCCAACAGCCCAACAACCCCGGAACCCTTCCGGATCCCAGAAAAGCTGTAGCAAACACCCAGTTGCAGAGGCCCCAAGCTTTCAGCTGGCGGAAAAGTAGCCCTTGACGCAACGTGGCAGACTAGGGACGGTACCGCAAGCGCGCTGCGTTAAAGCACCAAGCAATTGAGCCAGCGCACGGCGCAACGAAACCCACGGAAGCGGCTTCGAAGGCGCGAGCCGCCCCTTGCGCCAAGCCCAGCCTGCCACTGCGCATGGGGCGCATGCTGCCTTGGTGCTGAATCACATGCCTCTTATGCCACAAGTATGACAAGTACGCCAGGCATCCAACCCACGCCACAACAGGCATGACCAATGTGGCGTCAATCAAGTGGAGCAGCAGACTAGCTGCCAGCACCTCAACCCCAGCTCACTTGTTTAAAGAACCTGAAAATGAAAGGTGAAACTTTCGGGATCTTCACAGAGTGCACCAAAGAAAAAGTGCAAAGGTCGGCCTTGCAAAAGGAGCCAAAACCGGCTCAGCATCACAAGAAACCCGCGAATCTTGAAACTGTGTGAATCAAAGTTGCTGCAGCGCCGCCTTGCCCTTGCCCTTGCCTGGCAGATCACTTCTCACTTCTCCCAGGAAAATACCCATCTTTGTTCAAGCGCCCCTTTATTATTATTTATGTTCATTTGTTTTTTTTCCCCGTTTGTTTTGAGTTTTATTATTTTTTAAGGAAGAAAGAAAGAACACACAACGGCCTGGAAGACCTTTGGTCATCTGGGCCAGCAGCGCCGGCGACATCGCACCTGGCAAGCTTCGAACCCGCACGCTCGCGACCAAACTTTTGCCGCGGCTGGCGCGGCTCCGAGTGGCAAGGCTAAAATGCGCTTTTCCTTCCTCAAGGGGGAAACAAAAACCTCACTCCAAACCAACCCGTTCTGTACCCTAAGGCTGGGGTTTTCCTCAAGGTGAAAACAAACCTCACTCCAAGCCAAGCCGTTCTGAGGTTCCCCGAAGTAAGCCTTCCGAACCGCAGTTTGTCCCTTCTCCGAGCCTTTGGCAAGCGCAGCTCCCTTCGCTATTCCTCGCTTGGAAAGTGAGGCTGGTTGCGGATGGCTGCCAGTTTGGCCGGGCAAATCTTGCAGAAAATATGGGCGGGAAGACCCAAGATGGTTTTCCTAGTGGCTTCCCGAAGGAGGAGGAAACAAACACTGGGTACCCTCAAAAAAGGACACTGCTTCCTCATCCCGCCCGAGTCCTGTCCAGGGAAGGGCACCCTTTGCGGCAGCCTTTCCCATGAACATCTGCATGAACTGGACAGGGTGGACAGGGCTCCAGTCCTGCAGGAGCTTTGCTTTGACTCGCAAACCTTTTGATCACCGCCACTGCCCACGCACCTTCTACAACTGCAGTTCACGCACACGCGGGTGGGCTAACTGCATGGCACATCTTGGTGGCCAAGATGAATGTGAGAGTGGGAGAAACCAAGGCACTGAGCTTCCGCGCCTGACTTGCCGTTCTTCTTGTGTCGTGCACCTGGCCAGCGGTTGGAGGACTTTGTGTGCTTGCAACCTGCAAGGTTCTGTTTGGCACCGTCGCCCACCTTGATTCGCCGAGTCGGTTTCTCCACTGGTTTTTGAGCGCTTCTCTTCTTTTTGGCCCTGTCTCAAAATAGGGGAACCCTCGAAACGAGTTTTTGTCCCTGTCCTCCCCCCCTTAAACCAACGCCCCAAAACGGGTACCACCTCAGCCGCAGCCATCCAGACCCATCCAAAGGAACCCCCCGCGCCTGCTTGGGCGGGGGCGCGTCCTCAGGCGCCGGCGCCTCGCCCTTGTTCTGGGCGTAGCTGCCGTTGAGGGCCTCGGCCGAGCCAAGTGGAAAGCCTTGCCTTGGCAGTGATCACTGATAACCAGGCACCTTGACGCCCCCCGGGCCGGCGGCCCCCCCCCAAAAAAAAAGAGGAGAAAGCAATCAACAAGCCCAGGTGATACCCCCAACAGCCCCGCAACCCAACCCACAAAAACAGACGCCTTAGTTTTGAAAGATACTGACAAACCCAAAGGTGACCGGGTCGGATTTCGGCCCGGGTGGCTCGTCTTTCCGGTCAACGGAACGGACCTCTTTAGGGCTGGCACGAACACAGAGCCGCATTCAAGCTTGAAATGGGTCCTGCGCATGTCGCAAGTGCAGTGTCCTACGACCCAGCCGGGTTTCGGGGCCCGCCTTCACCACCAGGTTGGCCTTGGGGCCGGAGACCGGCGCCAGCTTACTGCTGGTCTTCGTGAACGGCCGCAGCACCCCAGCATCCACCTGCCCGACGAGGGGGGGGAAAAAAGCGACAGAGTTTGGCATTGCGTCGCAACCCATCGGCCATGCTTGCTTCGGCCAGCCTTCTGCTGGATCACGCCCTGGCGTCAGGCGTGGCGCGGGGCAAGCCAAAACCGGAGCGGTCCTCCATGGTTTGCTTTCGCGGGCTTTCTTCTCTTTAGAATTGCTTTCGCGACGCTTTCGCGGCGGACTGTAACACAGCATGCAGGCTTTGGCGGGTCTTTCGCGGCGGGACCGTCTTTGGTTACTTTCGCGATAAGCTTTCGCAAGCTTTCGCGGCCTGCGTTTTGGCTTTTGCGGGGATTCTGCAGGACACCCCCCTTTATTACTTTGTATTGTCAGGGTTTGTGGCGCTGCTCAAGTGAGACGGCGCCCTGCAACCTTTCTGTTCACACGCAAGCGTTCTCCGGAATCACACTGCCCGCCTCGTCAATGTAATTATTCTCCAGGCGCAGGTACAGTGGGCTGCCCATGGTCGCTGTGGAGCTAGTGGCCTTCGGGTACAACTCCGTCTCCTGTAAATCGAAGCCATCTACCCGATACATCGCTTGTGTGGCGGCTTCTTGTCGGCCATCCTAATTACCTCTCATGTGCGAACATGTGTTGCCACAATCCAGGTTTGTTGTGAGTTGTGACTGCATCTGCCAAGTCCTAGTCACCAGTAACCCATCTCTATGAATGACTCTGATGCTACCTGCAGCAAAGGCGAGGAGTCCGGTAGGAAGCCAGAGCAGTGGGCAAACTTCATAGGGTCAGACAGACAGACAGACACGGCCTTTGGCGCGAAACAACGCCAAAGCCAAACACCTGGCAGCATCCCTCGCAGCAGCTTACCCGCTGGAGTCCAGTCCTTCGGAACCTGCAGTCCATACCCTGATGGCTTCATTTGGACCCATAGAGCAAAATCCCGAGGTGTCAGCACCTCACCCAGTGCCAGGTGCAGTGTTTCAGAAACCCTTCCTCAAGGGCGCTGCACAGGGCATTGAAACCGTCAGTGGTGATGGCACCTAGTGACAGAACGCCTTGACACCCATTTGCCTGGATGTCGAACCAGCCCATGCGGCAGCAACAAAAGGAGGAAACTTGTTGGTACTGGCTTCTCTTCCGGGACCTGCTTAAACTTCGGAAATCCAACTGGACTGGCTGTTCAAAACCTGCATCCATGGCGCAGTCTGAGAGATGCATCTCGGAAGGTGCGCACTCAGGACTAAGATTTCGGATGTAGTCGCCTCAGAAAACGACGTCAGCATGACCCCTCGGCCTCCCTTCAATTCAAAGCGAATCAAAGTCAGCTTCCCTCGAATTGGTGGTTTTGACTGGTGGTTTGGTGGTTAAAGAGGGGTCCCCTATGAACCCTCTACAAAGACCCGGGGCTCAAATCCAATCCAAAGCACCCACCATGGAAGGGGAGCAAAAATTGAAATTTTAGCAGTTAAGTGGGGATTTCCCACTAAACCACAATGCGCAAAAATGCAAAATGCTTCCCAACAACAAGCATGTAAGGGCTACCTGACAAAGACGGGTGCCCCCCAACACCCTTTAAAAAAACCACCTCCGCAACGGACCGCAAGCCAGGCACAGAGCACCTGGACCACGTCGTCATTCAGCGCGGGGCAGCCGAACATGCGAAATCTGGCCACCCGGATGTTGGGAAACCCCAGCGCGGAGAAGAGAGTCTGAAACCTCGGCGTCCAAGAGGACCCAAGAGGACTTGCCCCGAGCAAGTTGCCTTGCCCAAAAGCAGGGAAAAAGTCGTAGTACATACCCTTCATGGGTTGTTTTCTAGTGGTGATATCTCCTCCCCTTGCCCTTGTAACAAAAGGATTCCTTTCCTCCCACTAACATGGCAACTGTGGGAGTTTCCCTTGGAGGGACCCCCCAGAGAGGGTAGCGGAAAACGCTACCAAATCATGTGACACCTTGGGCCTGACTTTCTCAAACCGTGCCCGAGAATGCCCGAGCCACTGCTCCAGGGTCAGCTTGTTCTGCGAGACATCCAAGTCTGTGATCACAAACTCGTCGCTGCCCTCCGTCTGCGCCCTCAGCGACTCCGGGCATGCATGCATGAAGAACCCATGGTGGCGCTAGGTTAAAGGGGAAATCATGGTCGGGGCAAGCAGCTCTTTTCCTTGAGCCAAGCGGCTCTAGCTGCGACGTCAGGTCCTAAGTTGCGAAGGCCACGCCTGGTCATGGCCGCTGATTTATCTGCGCTGATCCAGACGGGCTGCCAGTGCCACTTCTTGGAATCCCTTGAACTTCTTGTAAGGGAATGATTCAGGATGTCCGATTCGGCTTTCCTTCAGGCTCGAAAAATGTCACCTCGCCCTTTCTCGGATCCACACGCGCATACGCACCCCGGATGTGCGGCAGGGCGGCCGCAATGAGCTCCTCAAACTTGGCCGGGTGCTCTAACCGTCGTCTCCTTGGGCCGGACTGCAAAGTGGCAGGTTCGGTGGTGGTCTCCGACGCTTCTGGCTTCTGGGGTGGAAGAGGCGCAGTCGCGATGCGACGCGGCAGCGAGCCAGCGCATTCCTTTTGACCTCACACGCGCTGCGCCCGCGAAGCGCAGAGAGGCACCTGGCAAAGGCAGAGACACCTACCCAGGCCACCTGCCTGCAAGAAAATCCAGCACGAACCCAACAAACCATCTTAGTCTTGGGAACCTCGTTTTGAGGCTTCATACGCTCATTTGCAGTGGTGCATTCAATTCGCTCGAGGCCCCGGTGAGTCATAGGTCATCCCCGCTCAACCTCCCCAGCCTGCGAAGCATCTCAACAGCCTCTTGGAGGGAGCCTGCACACGCGTGGAACCCCCCGCCCCTGTCCCATCAGGCGGTTTTCCTTTGGCTTGCCCATGGGAATATCAACCCAAAGGGGGGCCAGACAAAACACACCCTCCGAAAACAATTTTGAGGGGGGAACCTCTCACCGAATGAGCCAAAGACATCAGGTGCAAACCATCCGACGCTTCAAGTGAAACGCAGAGGCAAATCGCAGGCAAGAGTCCACACTTTGATGGCACCATCTGCAGATGCGGTGACCTGAGGCTCTGAGGTACAGCGCAAACAAACATTGAGACGATTTGCGGCCGGGCAGATCACGGCACGAGCCCCCATGCGACGCAACATCCCAGGCTTGCCCAGCCCACGCTCTTGAGCAGCCAATTTCGCGACCTCCTTTCGGATACCGCTTGGCTTTTCCGTGCGTGCTGTAAAACTGCCCGTGAGGGCCAAGCCCCCAAGCCCCCTGCCCCCTTTTTGGAGCGGGATTCCGAGGATTCCGATATGGCAAGTCAACCAAGCCCACTCAACTATGAGCACCCTGGCACATCAGGGCTCCCACCAACTTGTTCCCAACTTGCCACAAGTCAACCACCCCCGTCACCCCTCCCCCCCGGGCCCCGAACCGGAGACCCCATAAGTTTCGGGCCAACGTCTCCTCGAAGAAGCCCAGGCAGAGCACGGCGGCGCCGTGGCCACTGGGCGACGGCAGCGCCGCACCCTCCACCAGCTCCCAGAAGAAGATCCGGCCGTCCTGCGGTCGATGGCTGAGCTTCGATCTTCGACTTGCGGGTGCGATAGGTAGGGAATGACCCAGTTGGGCATGAACTTAGAAACTCCTTTAAAGGAAACCTCCAGTTGGATTGTTTATGGGTCATAAGCTCGGTTGCTCTCTGCTCCCCTGCTAAAAGTTTTCATTTTTGGTGGTTTAATACGGAAAACCCATTGGTTGGCAAAAAGTCGAAGTCCTAACATCCCTAAGCAAAATGCACCAAAGTAAGGGGTCAATTCCATTTCTCATTCCCTGCCTATCGCACCAGCAAGAGAATCTATGATGATAAAACGCGATTGACGGGAAAGGGTGGTTCACCAAGAATGGCGACTGGGCAAAAAGATCGAATGTGGCGCCCGAGGGAGTCGAACAGCTTGGCTTCCCATCAACCTGCGATTTGGCACGCAAAAGAAATCTTTCCAACGACGCAAGCGCACGACGCTTCGCCTCAACCCGGGCCTCCGAGCCGCTTGCCACGAAGGAGTCGCTTGGATCCAAGGCGCTCTGCACCTTGACCTTCCTGGGCGGTGGAACTCATGGGCCCAAAAGCGCAACTTGATGGTTGAGACTCAGCACCCTTCAACTGGGGTTCAATGGTCCGCGTGGGCCAACCCATTCCCCCGTGAATCTGGCACGCTTTGCAGCCGGCTCGCTTGTTCGCATGCCCCGAGTAGGACATGAGCTCAGAGCCATCTTGGTGCTCGAGCAAGTGGATTTTGCTGTCCTGCCATGGGAACCGGGCCAACCGTTTTGGGAGCAAAGTGAAAAAACCCTTTGCCATGAATGTAACTCCCGTCCAAACTCCGGCTCCAATCAGCAAGTTCTTCGAAATGGGCAATGGTCGGGCGAAGGCTTCGCGACCTCGCGACCTCGCGACCTCGCGACCGGTCCAGCGTAGACACCAAGAGGCACTGGCCGTCGTTGGAAACGGAAATGCTGCCGATGGGCTGCAGCAGCTGGTCCTGTGGAAGGGCTGTTGGAACGTATCCATGTCCGCGTCTCAAAGTCAGGGACTGCCACCCCCACCCCAGCCCAGCCCCGCCCGCTAAAAAAACAAAGAGGAGCCAAAGCAATGGGTGGTTTCGGTTCTTTGCTGGCCCCAAGCTGGCTCTTCTCTGGAAAACCTTCCTTCTATAGCCTAGCTGCGTCAGGAGAAAAAAGCCACAGACAGAAAGTCGCAAGGACCACTGCACCGTTTGATTCACAAATTGCAAATGGGTTTTGGCATCATTTGGCCGTCGCTCCGTCACAACTTGCCCCTGCCGCACGTCGTAGCTGCGCAGACCGCCATCCACGCTGCCAGTGAGGATTTCCTGGTGAGGAGAAGTGTCCGGGCGCCCCAAATTGGGGTCATTCCGCTCTGGGACCTCTAGCCCCCCACTCGATCATTCCGACTCATTCCCAACGCAAAAAATGCAGAAGCATTCGCACGGTTGGGCTTGTTGACCCGAAAAGCCATCGAACAAGTCACAGGTCCCAGAAAACCAACCTGAAAAAGCCCTCCAAAAGACGTACGCAAAAGGTGTTCCTTTTGGACCCTTTTTCTTGATCAAATGGAAACCAAAGGGAAAGCCCACCATTTTGGGGGGTCCAAATCCTCCAAACGGAGCCCAAGGCACGTCCCCATAAACCCGAAGGCAAAGTACAGAGTCCACAGCCCCAGTCAAAGTCTGCATCGGCCGGTGCCCCCGCGCACGCATATCCCAGACCTCGTCCAGACTTCTCGTGGGGGCTGGAGGTTGAGAGGTTGGGGGGTTAGACATTGGAGGTTGGGGCGTCAGAGGTTGGGAGGGTGGTCTGCTTTGGTGGCTTTGGAAGGGGTAGCCCATTCCTCCTCTAAACCGCCAATCCAAAGCAACTTGGGCCCCCTGCACAAATTAAGCCGTGATGGCAGCAACCGCAACCCTCACCCAAATCGCAGCCTATTTGGACAGAAAAAAAACAGCTTTCAGCTGGGAGAAAAAAGGTTTGCTGCTTGGTCCCGTTTCTCTTGCGGCTTGGCAAAGGGCAAAATGGCTGCAAGGGAATGACTTGAGTCTGGCAACCTTCACCGTCTTGTCGTGGGAGGCGCTCAGCAAGACCTCCTCCTGCCGACAAAGTGTTCGGGCTGCTTAGAGCTGAGCGAAGGCTATTTGGGCGGGCTGATTGGCGAACCTGAGAACCGCCTGAGGGTTTTGGGTGACAGGCATCGCCCGCATGGCGCCTTGGGGCCAAAAGCCAAGGCGTTGACCTTGCGGTCATGGCCCGTGAACTTCCGGATGACCTCGGGACCAAAGGTACGATTGTTTGAGGTTGGTTCAAAGGGAAACCTAAAGGAAACCGCTCCCTTTTTTGAGGTTCCCCTGCAAAAAAAAAGAAGGACAAACACAAATTCGGCACCCTCGCCTCGCCTGTCCCGAAGTCACGTCCCAGAGGAAGATGAGCTTATCGGAGCCACCGGACACGAACTTGCTGTTGTCTGCCGCGATCCTGAAGTTAAGTTGAGACACTTCCAAGTTGCGACTCGAATCACGGGCGGAAAAAAAAAAAGCCAATCAAAGCCAGCCCATGACATGCCCAGCTTTAGAGCTTGGGAAGCGCATCAGTGTGCCCCGTCGGAGTGTTCGCACGAGCGGCGAAGCCTGGCAAAAACCAAGAGCCTTCAGCGATTGCCGATCGAACCGCTTGAGAAATCATGGGGGACGCGCAGCAGGCGGGGGGGCTCGGCACTGGGGGTTCTGTAGTCACTGCGTTTGGAAACCTTCCGACTGGCTTCTCCAGGCTGGTAAGAAGTAAAGCGGAAGTTTCCTAGGAAGGCGCTGAAGTGTGGGAGGGGCCATGTCGATTCCAAGTGTCAGCACGTCGTTGACCTCCTGGTTGTGGCAGCCCACAAACTTCTTGATGTGCTTGCCGCTGTGGGGGTTCCAAAGGCGCACCGACTTGTCCTTGAGAAACCCCAGAAATGATTTCGCCCCTTAGGGCCATGGTCATAGTTCCACTTTCAGCGAGGGGTACTCTTTGATTGTACCTACAATGCACCGGAACCATAGGGGTCTGACCATCGCACCCTTGCCAGGCACGCTGCCTGGGAAGCCGTCATGACGTACTGGCCGTTCTTTGTCCAGCACCTAAGCGCACCCAAACCCACTTTCCTAGACCTATTGTGGATAGACAAAGTCTGTTCGCACCACTTGGAAACCTTGGGACACCACTGTTCGTTGGTGTTTACAGGGGAATCCAATCATTCCATAATTTATTGAATGCGAAATTCATCCACTGCAAATAAATCCCCCATGCAGGACGTGCAGGTCAGGTCATGGAGTTGCCCAGCCTCTATCCCTGCGCCCTTGTGCTCTCCCTATGCTGACCTTGTGGTTGCCTTGTCTCCCTGCCCACATCTCCCCTCACCTCCCTTCCATTCTTCAACGTGTATGCGGCATGTGTCAATCAAAAGAGGGGACGAAAAAAGCCCCCAGAAAAGCCAGGAAAACACCAGCACCCAGATCCCCACCTAAAACCGCCTTCATTTCCGCCCTTTTGGCATGTAAAGAGTCTTCCGGGTTTGGTTGATCCAAACAAATCCCCGATTCCAGTCCTTGGACACTCCCCCGCGCCAATCTTGCCGCAGTCGCATCGCCAGCACGGCGCCCTCGTGGCCAGTCAGCGTGTGCACCGGCTCGGGGCCCGGAAGCTTCATGGCTCGCTATGGCCAATGCGTTTTGGCGGTCATATTTATTCAACGGGCCAGCTGAACATATGGCTCTTTTTGAGTTGTAAACCTGAATATTGGGTCGCTTGTGAACCTATTCTTGAGTTGTTTCTTCAGGTGGGTCCCTCTTTGGTGGGTCTGAGTTTGGTCCCATTGAATTGGAAACGTGCTGTGCGTCATACTCATTGATACTTCTGGGTGTTTTCTAGATTTTGTTGGTTCCAGGTTGGGTTAAAGGGAAACCAGTCCCAAATTCCTTGACGCATATCCAACCGTTGTTGCTTGTGTTTGGTGATCATTCATGGGGACCGATGGTGATGAATGATAATGATATTGCCTCAAGTCCAACCTGGGTAGTCTAGACTTTGAGGAAAAATATAAGGAAGCTTCAGAAAAAGCACAAGGAAAGCCAGTTGGAGGCTTCATCGGGTGCGGGGTGGGGTGGTTCTGGGAAGCACTCGCATGCCTCCCTCTCAGAAAGCAGGAATTGACAGCAATACCTAAGGCTGCTTGTGGACTCATGCCGGCTACACAGATCGCTTTGGCGTACGACTCTCACAAAGATCTGGCTTGGCAGGGTGGGTGGAATGAGCGCTCCAACCATAGTCCTGATCACATCTGTTGTGGGAAGGACGCGGGACACCTTTGAATAACATCTTGGTATCTGGGGCAACCCTAGCCACTCAACGGCCAACCCCGTCGGCTATAAAGCAACTTGTTATGCATCAGACGTACCTGCTGCGCTTGTGAGCCAAAGCACGGCCGGCCGCAATGATTCAGCTTCGCTCTAAATGATGGTAGTTGGAGGTTGGGGGGGTGGGGGTCCCTTTTGTCCAAACCCCACCAATCCAAACCAAGGACTACAAGATTGCCCTCCCTCCCTCCAATCCAAGCGTCCCCTTCACCTCGATTCCTCCAGCGCTGGGGATGATGAGTGGCAAAGCCATGGCAAAGCACGCAGGGGCGCCCTGCGGCCCTGCCCCAAAAATGTGAGCACAGGCGTGTGTCTGGCCTCTCTCATGTTCCGCTCATCTCGTTGCTCGCCAGCTTATCATGGAAACCAATGGCTTGGAAAGCATGGCTGTACATGTTCCTTCTGGAGGGTAAAAGCTGCAGTGCGAAATACTTGCGCTGGTTTTACAGCCCGTGCCCTGCAATGCAAACACATGCGCGACTAAGCCTGGTTCAATGGGGTCCGCTCCATGCTGAGACAAACCAAGCCAAAAGTCGTGAGAATCCAATGAATCCAACCGTGGCCAACCCGATTCACTGCATTCAGCCCAGCCTGTCCACTGCAAGGTTGCCTGGCATTCCCCAAGTGCAAGGCTCATTGACTCTTCCTATGCCTTCATACGCAAACAAAGGAAGAAAGCGCACCAAAGACTGGACCGAATGCTTGCAAAAGGCAGGCTGTCTTCCCCTATCATGCTTCCAAGTCCGCTTTTGCGCCACGCAAATTCCTAGAAACAGACTCACAACGCGAAGCACAAGAGGCAGAGTCCTTGCCGTTTTGAACGCCGCGCGCCAAGTACGCGTCGGGCACGAACCCCTACTCAAATGAGTTCGGCCCTCGCAGCCTCAGGCACATCACGAAACTCATGTTGCCAACTGCTCTGCAAGGTGCAATCCGTTGCCTGCCTTCTGTTTCTTTTGGGGAGGGGGGCTTGAACTTGCACACACTCAGAGGCATTAAAACGCAATTTCACGAGATTGCATGAATTCAATGGAAGGCCCTTGCACACGGAGCAGCAGAACCGGGTCGCCAATGAGTCGCTCGATTGCGACGCGGAAATCTGCAGCCAGGCGTCCGAGGCATTTCGCACAACGCCTTGCAAGCTGGAGCCGTTCGCCAAGGCAACCTGGCAACGAATGGCACCTGGCCTCAAGCAAAGTGAGCTGCTCACTGCATGACGAGGCGCGAGGTTCTTGCCAGCAAAGGCTGCGCTGTTTGACCAAAACCGGTCATCCCGCATAGCCACGCCTGCAAAGCGGAGGTGCAAAGAAACAGCTCTGCCTGACCTTCAGAGAATCGCCCCTGTCCTGGCAGCGTCAGCACGTTCGACAGGCTGCGGATGTTCTGCGGGTAGGGCTGCGCCTGCTTCTCAAGTTCTATCCGGGACTGTGAGGAAACGCCGAGCAAACACTTAAGCCGAACAAGCACACAAGCAAGTACCGCCAAGCCAGCACCGGCAAATCAAAGCATGCCAAGACCACAACCGCAACAAGCACGAGACCACGACAGCAAGACCATGACCACAACCACGAGGCCATGAGTGTGAGAGGATGACCATGATGATGCACGGTCACAATCCTCCAGGTGATATCCCCAACAGCATGCGGTGCTCTTTTTAGTGCCTTTTTAGTGCTCGCACCACCCCACAGCCGTGGCAGAACCTGGCGGAACCCCGGTAAAACCCTGGTGGAACCCTGGTGGAACCCTGGTGGAACCCTCGTGGAACCCTGGTGGAACCCTCGTGGAACCCTCGTGGAACCTTACCTCAGGGCCGCCCCGACCACCCCGGAGCCTATCTGGGCTGAGACCCCCAAAGCTTTCAGCTGTTGGGGAAAAGCAAAATTGGAGGAAGTGTGTTTGGCTTGGTCGACACTTCCCAGTGCCGCTTTGCTATGATTTCTTGCCAGGGGGGGGGGGGTGATGGGTGTTCTCTTCTGGGCAGGTTGTCAGCACCATCTGGCATGTGACCATGACGCCACTACCACTACCACTACAATACTACAACCCACCGCCAGCACTACCTACCAAACTCATGCTTCCGGCCGCCAGCATTTCTTACTTCGTTTGGGAGCCATGGCCGCACAAACCAAATATGTTCTGCGTCGGCGTGCGCCACATGCCAAGGCCTCCTTGGAGTAGGGCGGCCCACAGAACATGTCAGGAAAGTGCCAGCAGCCCTGCGGCCAAACGTCCAGCACCGCCCCAATGGAGCGAGTCAGCAGCGCCTGTTGCGTCGGATCGGCTGAATCTAGCGGCGAAGTGGCTAGGCGAAACTAATGCAAAGGCCTCGTAGATAGAATGTGGCTTGGGGCAACAACTGCAAAAACAAAGTCAGTCATAGACGACTGGGCTTAAGAGATCGACTGCCATGAAACTGAGCTGGTCAGGGGAATACTGTTTCTAATCCTTCCGCCTTCAGCTCATGTGCACAGCTGCCGCAAGCATTGCCTGGTAGAGCGCATCAAAGTCCACCGGGTTGGCGGAGATGGGGATCAGAACGGCCCCCGGCTTCATGAGCGCCAGTGAGGTTTTGTTAATCAAGCCCTTCACCGAGCCTGCATGCAGGCATGCACGCAAGCCACCAAGCTGACACGTGGGGAATGACTTCTCTCAAAATCAGGGACCAAAAAATGAGTGGTGTCTTTTGGTTCCCCTGAAACAACCAGCCCCCCAAAAACAGGCGCCCTCCAAAAACAAAACGAGCCACCCACATCCCAACTTCAGGCCACCAGAGCTGCTCTTGCTCCCGCCCGCTCAGCCGTCCTGGGACTGTCACGGCCACAAAGTCGCTCTCCGCCAAGACGCGGTCTGTGTCGCTGATGAGCCACAACCTCGAAACGGATACGCGAATTCCAGCTCATATCAAGTGATGGGGCCCCCCCCCCAAATAATAAGCTCGGGCGATATCCCCAACAGCACCACACCCTCCCAGAATCCTCGCAGAACGCCGACCATCCTTACCGCCGGTGTTGCTGAGGATGCCGCCTTGTAAAGCAAAGCTACGAGTGACAGCGCAATCTCGCCCTGATCGGGGCCCGACGGCGCAATTGAGGCCCGATCGGGGCCCGACGGCGCAATTATCGGGGCCCGACGGCGCAACCGGGGCCCGATCGGGGCCCGATGGTGCAATCGGGGCCTGATCGGGGCCCGACGGTGCAATCGGGCCCCGATCGTCCCGCGGTGCAACCCAGCCACCCATATTATAGCTCAACGCCAAATGTATCTATAGCAAAAAATAGGCGATGCCAGCTTGGTGGCCCGACGTGCAATCGGGGCCCGACGGTGCAATTGGGGCCCGATTGGGGCCCGATCGTCCCGTGGTGCAACCCCAGCCACCCATATTATAGCTCAACGCCGGTTTTCCTTAGTATGCGGATTGCAACTGTATCTATCGCAAAACTAGGCGATGCCAGCTTGGTACAATTGACGGGGCCCGACTGAGTCGGGCCCCGATCGGGGCGCGATGGCGCAATCGGGGCCGATCGGGCCCAAACGGTGCAATCGGGCGGGCCCCGACCTAGGCCCGGTGAACCTCGCAAACCGTTCTCACGCAACTTTCGTGGAGCTCAGCGTGAAACTTTGCTGGAACCTTTCCTCAGGGCTGCCCCATAGCTTTTGCAGAATTTGGTGGAAACCTTCTGACCTCATAGCCCTCGCAGCCTCGTGGAATTCTTGGAACCCAAAGCCAGCAGCAATGCCAAGCATTTACTCTGCTGCACCGTGAGTTCCGCAGCGACGTGATTTGATTTGCCACAAAGCCAACATTTGCCTGAGCAAGTGAGCAAGTCACAAAACAGTGAAAGTGTGCTAAAAACCATTGATTTCGGTTTTGCTTAGTGTCCCGCCCATGAGCAAAGCGATCTTGATCCGATGGCTTTTCAGCAGACCACCCCAGCCCTCGAAGAAATTGCTGGGACCCTGGTGGAACCCTTGTGGAACCTTACCTCAAACCACCCCGGACCACCCTGCAGCCCTGGTGGACCCTCGTGGAATCTTACCTCAAACCACCCACCCCGCAGCCTGGAACCCTGGTGGAACCCTGGCGGAACCCTTGTGAAACCTTCCTCAAACCCGCAGCCCTCGAAGAAATTGGTGGAACCCTGGTAGAACCCTCGTGGAACCTTACCTCAAACCACCCCAGACCACCCCGCCCTTGTGGCAGAACTTGGCGGAACCCGGTAAAACCCTGGTGGAACCTGGTGGAACCCTGGTGCAAATCGTGGACCCTCTGGTGGAACGCTGGTGAAAACCCTGGTAAAACCTTGGTGGAAGCCTGGAACCCTGGTGGGAACCCGCCCCGGACCACCCCGCAGCCCTTGCAGAACGTGGTGGAACCCTGGTGGAACCCTCGTGGAACCTCACCTCAGGGCCGCCCCGGACCACCCCTGAGCCTATCTGGGCTGAGACCCCTTAGCTTTCAGCTGTTGGGGAAAAAAAGAACCGTTTTGCCACGCCCCAACAAAATGGTTGGCTTGCTTTTGGTCTCCGTTTAAAACCAACCAAAAGGGGGTCCCCCAAGAAAAGACACACACCCCAGTGGCCAAAATGCGCCCCAATGGAAAAACCCGCGACCGAGCCGCGAGAAGGGCCCGTGCCGGCGGCTCGCCAGCACTTCCATGCCCATGGCAAAGGCGCGCTTCACCACCGCCTATGAGTCGCAATCAGAACCTGGTAAGATCTGGGTGAATTTTCATATTTCACCAGCCTGAAATAAGGTGGTTGGGGGGCTATTCCCCGCAGAAACCACCATTTGGGTTGGGTCGTGTGAGGTCGTTATAATTCACCCAGTAAGATGGTTGATCAGAACCAGGTACATAATTTTCAGCAGGCGGAGATCCGCAGCTAATGGTTGGGATCGTCCCTAAGCTTCTACCCGGGTTTTGATTCTGCCTCACATGTCCCGACTCCCCAAGGTTGACCCCGGATTCATAAACCCATCCTACTTTCCTTTTTTTCGTGTGTGTGTGTAGGGTGTACCTCCCCAAGAGTGGTCTCTCAACCAGGGGACACCCCCCTGGTTGAACCCACCCACAGTTTCGTTAAAAATCCGCGGGGGGGTCCCAGCTCGTTGACGTGTCCGGTGCCTCCCCGATGGTCCCGTAGCCCACCACGCCCATCCGCTTCCCCATCACCGTCGGGTGCGAGGTCAGCACGGAGTCCGCCGGGCAACCGCCCGGGGCCCCGAGGCCAAAGCCGCAGCCGAACAACGCCGACTTGGCGCTCAGGTCGTAGCTCCTCCCCCACTTACCCTCCAAGAACCAGGGGTTCAAATCCAAATCCAAGCCACCAATCCAAACCACCAACTAAGGGATACCGGATGTTTCCCTGATTGCCCTATCCGAATCCTCCCCTCTTGAAATTTGAAGCTCCCAGCATGTTTTCCCAAATTTACAAACTGGGGACTTTGCAGAAACAGGCCAAAGGTCGGAGGCTCTCTGACCCACTCCCAACACAGCATCGCTGCCTCGCTTCTTCCACAACCAAAGGATTCGCATCATCAGCCAAGGGCCTGCAAAACAAACCAAAGAAAAAGAAGAAAAAAGTCACAGCTAGAATCCAAGGGCCGAAAATGTCGCGGCTCCAGTGAAAGACCGCGGCGATGACGAACTCCGCGATCGGCTCCGCACCGTAGGAGGTCCAGTTCACGTCGATTTTGGCAACAGCTGCTTGAGTTGGCACCGTGGACAGGCAAGGATACCTGAAACTCCAGCCGTTTGTCGTGGGTGTTGGAGAAGGGCATGGCAGTGTACAGTACTTGCGTGTTTGCTCCTGCCCTGGTGCGTTGTGTGGCTGATTGAGGCACTCCATACAGAATACTGACCAAAACGAAACGGAGACACAATCAAAGCTCACCACTACACAACAAAAAGAAGCCGGCGACACATCACGGCCTCGAACATGGGCAGGAGCTCAACAGCAGTCAAAATGATGCCAGCTGCACACAACTAAAAAAAAAACACCTAAATGAAAAGAGTACCGCGATTAAAGGGGCCCAACACTCATCTTTGGGACATGTTGAGACTGCACCCTACGAAGCATCAGCGACCCCAGGTTTGGCAAGCCGCATATAGCTGGAGCTCTGGACCAGCTTCAGTTGTGGCAGCTGCTTCAGAATGGTGATGTTCCGAGGCATTCCCACCACCGCCACCACACCCTCCCTCACGCGCGAGCTCCCGCCAACCCCCCCGGCAACTCGACAAACCACGCGGCGCGATCCCTCAAGTAATACAAGAGATAATTTCAGCCATGATTGCTGCAAGCGCCCACCCGCAGTGGATGTGTGCTCCGGTGAAGCTATGCCCCCAGAAATGGCTTTCTTGGAGCTACCCCTGGGTTTCTTAGCAAGGCCACATTGCCGCTACCCCGGTCCTGTCATCTTCAGAAAGTTCACAGGGGCAGTGGCGCAGGCCAACCTTGCCCGCAACAGCGCTTGACAGCTGCGCCAAGTACGTGGTCCTGGGCTGCCCGTGAAGGTGACTGCCTGAATCTCCTATGCGTGGCACATACCCGCCAATGCTTTGCGCCACACCTGCAAACAACCAGACCAACGCGTTGCGCCCCTGAGCTAATAGGTGCTAGCCAAGAAGCGACTCATAGACCAGGGCTGTCGGCAGGCAGGTCACAGGTGCGAGAGCCAGGACGAGGGGCAGCACCTTGAGGGCCATGGCGCGGTACCCACCTTGGCCGCGAGCGCTGGCCTTCCAGCGTGAGAAATCCCAACGGAATGCCGTCCTCGCGCTCAACGCGTGGCGCAAAGAGAGGGCCATGAACCAACCCCCCCCTGGGCGGTGCGAGAGGCACGGCTGGGTCGCGCTCTTTCGCTCGCCGCTTCAACCGGGCTCGTGCCTACTCGGGGGGATCCAAAGCCTCCCCTGGCAGCTAAGGCTCAGTTTCAGCGTGCGACTCCCTGGCCCTAGCTCAAGTTGATCCCACTCCGTCCTGAAAAGGCTGCCTACGGCCTTGGGGCCTGCCCTCAGCAAGTCAACAGACCCCGGGACGGGCGAAGATCAACTCTCAAGGAAAGGCATCTTGGCCTTGGAATTGGCTGCCCCGTGATCAGAACGTTTCGCAGCAATTGCCAAGGCCCTCGATTCTGTTTGGCAGCCCTTGCCACCACCAGCTTCAGACCCACAAAATGGGCGAAAACCAATGGCTCTACTTTCCTCAAACCCAATCGGCCAATCGTTCATTCCAGCGTCTCATCTGAATTATTCCTTTCAAGGGCTGCGCAGACCCTTGGGGCCCTCGCATTGTATTTGGCCGCCAAAGCATTAAAATCCCTAACTTAAAGCCCCACCTCACTTTGAAGTGGGCAGTAAAACTTCTGCCTCTGCAACTCCTTGGTTGCGCTGCCAATAAGCGGCAAAACTCCCTCAGGATCCCTCGCTCGTGGTGAACCTCCAGGCACGACGGATGGCATCTGCCATTTGCAATTGGAATTGGTTGGACCCTTTGGTGGACATCATTGACATACAGATTGTCGCGGATTTAAGTCCACCAGTTTTGATTTATATCTCGCACAGTCCAATTCCCAACGTCGTTGCCCAACAATTGAGCTTGCAATACCTCAACTGTGGCTGCCTAAGCAAGCATGCCGGCCTGTACCAGTCAGCAAGCATGGCTTGCAACATCTTCCATCACCTCGGAAAGCAATGGTCCACCGCACCCTCCACTTCCACCCCCCCCCCCCCCGCGGCCAGGCCGCGCAGCGAAAGCGCTCCAGGCCCTCAGAAGCCTCCAGCAGGGATTCGCCGATCCCTGAGCTCGAGCCCACGGATCAGCATGGACACAAGGTTGATCAATATTCCTGGTCCTCATGGGTCCCATGAGTAACTTTCCCAGGCGCAGTCGTCTATGGTTTCCCCGGTCATCCCATAGAAAGGACCGTTTCATCAACAACATCAAAGCCAAGATGCACGCCAAACGCTCCAACCACGCGGGCACGTCCCCAACACCTGTGGGCTGCAAGGTGCCCATGCGAACGCAAAATGAAAGCCCTGGGCCTAGGCGACGGCAAAGGTCCGAGGCGAAGTGGCAGCAGTTGCATCGAATTAGATGGTAGCCTCTCCCAGGGTACCTCACAGGCATGGTCAACATTGCCGTTCACGTATGGCTCACGACAACAGACGGATTCCACTGGTAAATGGTAAGAATCTTTAAGAACGAAACTGAAACTAGCGGAATCCATCCTCGTTCAAACAAACTGACCTAGAATGGACACCCATCACTGAGGCCTATGGCTGCTTGCTGCTTCAGCCCCCAAGCAATCACGCGGGGCCAAGCTTGTGTTTCTGGTGTATCCTTTCCTTCCCACAGCACCTGGCGAAAACACACAAATCGGTTTGAGGAGGCGTCTTCTGTCGGAAACGGGTAAGCAAGTCAAGCCCCCATGACTTCCCCCATCACTTCCCCATGGGGTTCGAGCCATCCACAGCTCTCCGCTCTCCGCTCTCGGAAGGCCCGCGGAAGGCCCGCGGAAAGGCCAGCCGAGGGGCTCTCTCACCATGGCCTCCAGAAGGCTCCGCACCTCAGCCTGCGACAGACTCGTCACCCCCAGCTCGAGGGTTTCCTCGGATCGACTCGGCCTTCCAAGAGAATCTCTCCTTTCTGAGGGGGATAGTCTTTCTAAAGCCCTTTCTGTTGTATCACAGAAGTGGATTCCATTTCCCACAGCCCTGCTGAAAGAAAGCAATAGGTATGGAACATCTGGGCGTATCTTTTTTTAGGACCCCGAAAAGGTGTTCCTCTTGATTTCCCTCCACGTCTGTAAGATGGGGGAACCCCCCAGAAAGATGTTCTGATTCTGTTGGTGCCCCTCAAAACGAACCTCACAAAGATGGAGGTCTTGGGCCGAAGTGGGGCCCAAATCACAAACGACCAGAGCCACGGACCTTTGGTCTTGAATTGGTGGAACCCTCCCACACCCGAAAAGCACAAAACGAGTCATACTCAAAACCGGGCATAGAAGCGTCTGCCAAAGCAATCCGCACCTCTTGTCTACGCTCCCCAGTTTTTGTTCTTCTTTTTGTATTGTGGCTCACCTGTGGCCCAAGGGTCCCCGACATGTTCAGGGAGACCAAAACCAAACCACAATTTTGAGGTCCAATGTTGTCCCCCCCCCCAAGCCCCAGTTCCCGTAAGCCGCCCATGCCAAGGGTCTCGATAGTTGTGCAGCGGGTGTTTCCTCGGCGTCGAGCAATGCACTCCGGAGCCCACCGCCGCGTATCCTCAAGCGACAGCCGGCGAGGCATCACGGTTTGTCTGCCTTTCTTTCTTGGCCGAAGGCGGGGTGCTTTTCTCTTCTTCCAAGGGGATGTGGCAAAAGCATTTTGAAAAAAGAAACTTTGCCAAATTTCCTTGGACAGTGAGAGGCGCTTAGTTGGAATCGCCTTGCAAGAGCGACCACAAGAATGCAGCCCCAAGGTCCCCGTGTCACCATTGCCCCGAATCCAGTCCCGTACGGGGCTGCCATTTGACCAAGAAAGACTCAAGAAAGCCTCGCGCAACACCCCACCCCCCCGCCAGCGTCACAAGTGAGCCAGGTGCATCACCCCCACAAGCCCTCCTTTTATGGCGCCAATGGTTGAATCTTCGCAAGTGAGTCAGGCGATGCGCGAGACCACAGCGACACTACTCAAAGTGAATCATCCAATCATCGCAAATGAGTCAGGCCAGCTGTAGTTGCAAGTGAGTAAGTCGATACAAGTCGCAAGTGAGTCGCCAGCCAATCGTTCGCATGGGGGTTGACGTCCAACCGTGTCCAAAGTATCTCGCCATTTCAATTCATGTGCCCCCTTCCTGGTGTCCAGAGAGAATGGACCCTATGGGCATCCAAAGGATACACCCCAATTTCCCTGTGAGGCGAAACTCTCGGTTCCGAAGATGCTTGAAAAGCGCTTCTATCATGCCGCAAGCTAATGTCATCGCCTGGCACTCAAAATTGAGAATTCCACTACCCCAAACGGAACGTGGAAGGCGCAGCAAACTGCAGCCGGTGGGCCCGGCGCTTCCCGAGCCCCGCTTAAACCCAAGGTGCCAAAGGACCACTCCTTGCCCCCGATCTCCACCCCAGCATGGAAGAGGCCCCCAAACTTGAAGGGTGACATCGGGTGCGCCAAGAACACGTTCAGGTTCTGTATGCCTCAAACGCCCCACAGCGGGCTCGCGCTGAGCGGCGCACAAGGCTTCGGATGCCGGGGGGCTGGATTCGTGCGAGACGTCGTAGATATTTAGCCTGACCTCGGGCGGAGTTTCGAATGCCAAGGGCCACACGGAACGCCGAATCACCATGCAGAACGAGACACGAGAACGGTGTCTCCCCAGTCACCTGCGCCAGTTAGCGTGAGCTTCGCGCGTCAAACGGAGATTCTCCGAAAACTGGAGCCCCTTCTTGGATTGTTTTTAAGGTACACAGCAATGTTCACAACCCAATTTGGAGACTTTTGGGACTGGGAGAAAAAACCTAAGACGCGGCCCTGCCTGCTTCTGTCGCCTCACCTGCCAAAGCAACTCATGTTGGCACAGAATCAGTTTGGATCGCAGACCTATGCCTTGTTTCTCCTTGGGGCGTGGTGCTTCAAAAAGGTCGCTGTGAGAAAGTTGACCCTGAGACCCGACGAGGCCCCGGAAGTTCAGAGGCCCTTAAGTTGGCCGAGACCAAACCGCAAAATGCGGCGCAGTCCCCAAACGCCCAGGGTCAAACGCAGCGCCTTCGATGGGGTCAATGACAACCGTCACCGAGTCAGGTGGAGATTCCTCGCAACTCGAAACATCGAACGCGAAGCAAGGTGGGCTTGTCTCAAGAGAGGGGCCCAAAATAATTCCTGTCCTTTTAATAGCGACTAATGGCCTAGTAGGGTCCCTCTTAGGGGGGCCCCCTAACCATGGGAAAATAAAAATCGCTCGTCTTCAGCGTATCAACTCAAAGGCGAGTTGAAAGCAGCCCACGCAACCCGGTCCTCAACCTTCTCTGAAGTCCGTGTAGCAACGCCTGCCGCAGCATATTGATTCTGGAAGGCGCTTTCAAGTCTAAAACCTCCAATGTGCCCTAGATATTGCAGCCAACCATCCCAACCACAAAACCAGGACCAACCTTCATATGGTGGATCGCTCCCTTGCCGCAAGCCTCTGTAAGCGGCCAAGGGCAAAGAAAGCCATCTCAGGGACCTGATATGAATGCCGGCGCTCGAACCCGCGGCGCGACCCTGCGACGAAAAAGAACCGAAGCCATGAACCAACTTCTTTCCGTCACCGTTGGGCCACGGCACACCTCCACCGCCAGGCAGACAAGTGCCCACAGCAGCGAGGGAAAAACCAGCACCACACGCGGCTCGCTGGGGTCCTTCTGGATGCCCAATCCTTGCATGTCAAAACTAACGACCACAGAGTCAAACGCTCAATCCACGAGTCTCCTGAATTCTGTCGACTGCTCCGTTGGCGTTTTGGGTGGCTCCTTGCAAATCAATCTATGTGTGTGTGTGTGTGCTGTCTAATTATTTTGCCCTCTTGAGCCTCTTTGTTTGCGTGCGTGCTTGTTCGGTCGGTCGGCCGCCTGGGATGCAGAGCTCTGCCTATTCCTATCAGCTCGCCAACCAGCCCAAAGCATCCTACGCAAGGCTCGAACGGCAGGCATGGCCGCTGCTTCACTTCTTGCTGCTGAGTCTCTGGCCAGCAAATTCACAAAGGCGTCTCGAAACATCGGGGCGATCCCCAGCTCAACTCTCTTGGGCCGGAAAGCCACAAAAGCACGCAGAGTTGCCCATAAAGCCGTACTCTTTCTCTCTCTCTCTCTCTCTCTCTCTCTCGCTGTTTCTCTGTCTCTCTCTTGATCGTCCCGCCTAGAACACCTCAGAGGGGAACTCCAGTGCAACGAGAACGCCCAAATTCCTGAGCCCTGCGCGTGAAGTGAAGTCGCCGCCCACGCGCTGCCCAATGGATTGCAGACGGCCCCCCGCTCGGCCGCTCGGACGAAGACGGCTGCTGTGCACACGCTGAGTGGACGGGCTGATTCAGGCCAAACTGTCAGGCAAGCAGCCCAAATCCTGACCGATTGCAAACATAGCCAGAGCATTTTGAAATCCTCATGTTTAGCGGCTTGCTCATCGTCCGTGGGGCCTTGGCAGCTGCACGCGTGACGTTCGCGTGAACCATGAACTGACCTGCCAAGACCCACATCCGGGCGCAGCCTGAGACATATCCAGCGGCATCAAAAGAATCTTCTGTTCTGAACCTGTGCCGCGGTCATGGTTCAAGCTGCTCAAAATCGGCGGATTGCGACGCCCCAGAAACCTCCCTTCGGTCACTTCCAACCCATCGCGCTTTGACAAGAAACAGGGAGCCTTCCAGAAGGGCCGAGTGCAAGTCCGACCAAAGCCGCGCATCCCGCGGATGGCGCAAGCGGGATGCGAATGGAGCTCACTGCTGCTGCTGGCAAGCCTTCAAGGCATCCAGGTAGAACCTGGGTGGCCGAACTTCCGCTCTCTGCAAGCCTTTTTTGCCGTGCTTGGATAAAATACTCCCCTAAATATATACATCATTTTTCATCAAACCTTCCCCAGTTCATTCCTCTACTGGTCAATTCCGCGGGCAACCCTGCCCGATTTCCCGAGTGCGGGACTGGCACTGGGACGCCTCAGAGGAAGACTTCATGCACCTCGGCCGCTTTCAGCCCAGGAAACCAGCTCCAAAAAGAAGCGCTGGATCCCGAGGATTTTTTAGAGTTTTCCGTGATCATCTGGTTTCTGGAAGGCTGATTTTGAGGATGTGTCTGCGATTAGAAGCTAGTTGTTGGATGCATTTAAGGAATCCTTGTGTCTGTGTCAACAAGCTTCGAAAGTTGGGTGTCCCCTTTGAGTCTACCCTGCCTTTGTGCATTCAAACAAAAAAGTCGCTCCCCACTTGAGCCGGTGAGTTTACCTTGCCAAGCCAAAAAGACAGTAGTCATAGGCTCCGGGCTGCATGAGCTGGTCGTTCTGGACCTACAAGACACCAGAATTCGCTGCGCCTCCAAAACTTAGACGCCTTCGCCGAAATCCTTTTGCTTTGTGCGTCTTCTGTCACTTTGTGTGTTTCCATGTATGTTTTTTTTCTTGGGGACCCTTTGGTGGACAGCTGTCCGCCCTCTTGAAAAGGTTCCTAAATCCGACCCTCCCGTTCCGCGACCTGGCAAGTCGGAGCCGCAGCAGCCACGGGCGCACCGCCCTCCTGACGGTGGACCACCTGCGGGCAAACCCTGGAGGAGACTCCAGGAAACATCGAGTTCGCCTGTCGGAGTTCAATCCGAAACGGCACCAGCATTTGTTCTTACCAACTGCCCCTGGCGGGCATGTGTCAAAATAAGACCCCAAAACGGACGGGGGGGGGAGCGGGAGCGGACGGGGTGGGGCTTTGGGCTTCCGTTTGGCTCTTAAAGGGTGGTTTAAGGGATGAAACGGGTTGCAGAACAACTCAACAAACACACCGCCCACACCGCCCACAGCAGCCGAAGAAAGAAACGCTCTTCGACACATCGCCTCGGTCTGGCGAGGGCCCATCACCGCATCCACCGCGCGGTTGGCCATGCTGAAGCCCACGCCTGAACCGACCCCGTCCAGTTCGGGTATGGATACGATGTGGAACTTGCAGGCTCCAAAAATATCAACTTGGAAAGCACGGGACCTTTCCGATTCTTTTGGTCCCACATTTGGGGGCCCTGGGTGCGAGCCCCTTGCTCTGGGTCCCATCTTCCATGTCATTTGTTTGTCAAGGTGTGTGTCTTAAACAAAGAAAAACACCAAAAGATTGCCCACCCCCGTTTTGGCTTCCAGTGTTGAGGGACGAAGGCTCAACGCAGCCGACCAACGTTGCCATCGGGTGTAGCTGATACCCCAGCAGCTTCGGAGGCCCGGAAAAGAGTTGAGCCGTCTGAGCAGGAGTCGGCACCAACATGGTCCCGATGTCGCCTCCTCTGCAATAGCTCTCGAAGAATTCCAAAGGGCTTGACCCTCGCCGAAAACAGGCTGTTGTTTTCCAAGCCGTGCCCCCAGGCATGAAGGTGAAACCGTGAACGTGCGAAGGCGACTCTCAAAACTGACAGCAATTCGCTGATTCGAAAATTGCTTGTTTTTGCCTGCTAGTGCTTTCATATTCTCCTCTTCCAACCTTGTTTTCCCAAATGAACTTATTAGTGAAGAAGAGCCTCTCTTCCCAATAGCAAAGCTTTCTGCCGCCGACCTGTCGAAAATGGTCATTGTTGTTGCTGCTTTCTGACAATGCGCCCTACTAACTTCCTTTGTGATTGCTGAAGGGAACGAAGGGAAACATTTGGGAGAGGCTATTTGAGACACGGTGTAAAACACGGAGTACCTGCCCCATGCCTGTGGCCATGCCAGAAGCCATCGATCCCATCAAGCCAGACCTTGGGGTCTCGCATGGGTCACATATTTCGACACACACACACACACACACACTCCCACACGCTCGTTTGGGTGTGTCTCCGGAAAGGCCAACCCAAACCGTTGGCTGATCCAGCACGTCTGCTCCATCAATGCCCTTTGAGGGCCTCTCGTCAAATGCCGAGGCAACGCAGGCAAGCACTGTTGGCTGTCCATGAATCTGGGCATCTGATGACCCGGCTTCCCAAGCCCCAGCTCCCCCCCGAGGCTGGGACATCATGCCACTGCCACCAGTTTGGGGAGCAGGTGGCGCCGCGGCCGGGGCCTGCCATGCAAGGCCCACGGCACATGCAGGCGAGAATGCTCCCAGTTCCTGTCTCCTCCCAAACCGCTTCGCCCGAACCTGCAACCTTAAGCTGCCAGGAGTGCCGCTGCTGGGGGAGGCGCATGTCGCGGCGCAGGCGCCGGCGCAGCCTAAGATTGGGGATCCACACGCGTTCCCGGCACCTTGCCCTCGCCAAGCGTGCAGACTGGATGTCTATTGGCTTCTGGATCTGAGGGCCGCACGCGCTTGGGCCCTGAACCAGAAGTGCGAGCGCCGCCACGAGGCCTTGCTTTCACTCTGATATGCGCTCCGTCACAGCTCCGTCACTTCCCAAAACCCCAAGCTTGTGTGCTGGGGCTTCCGGCATTGCTGGCAAAGCGCGCACAGATTACCCACAACTTCACGTCGGTGATTGAGCCACAACTTGGAAAGAAGCCAAAAGTTGGCACCCCTTGCAAACGGAGCAAACCCTTCATGGTCCTCATCTTTTCTTGACTACCCTGAGTACATAAGTCCTCGCCCCCCATGAAGGCTTGTGAATCAGGAAACCTTACAAAATGGAGAACCAAAGCAAGCGCCAAAGCATGCATTTGGCTACCGCGAAACACGGCAGTACCGGTCAGAGCTGGCCAACCATGTCAATCCAAGGCAAGTGCTTTTGCCTCGAACTCCACGCGATCTGATGACCAGCAGTCACAATCAAATGAGCGCCACGTGACCATGGCACATCTGCTCTGCGGACTTTTGGTTCCTTTCTTCAAGTCAGTCCCTTCGGCAAAGCATTTGCGCACATCCCCTGGCCCAGCCAGAACACAAGCACCTTGGCTCCACTGGAACTCAACGCCACAGAAGAGGTTCAAACACGCATGCGGTGTGGTAGGGGAATTTGGGGGTTGATCGTCACAAGGTCCTTTACATGACGCTTGGGGAAACCACCAGAAACATGATATGTCCTTCTAAATGCGCTTGAAGCGGGGATTCTTTTGTGTTGCTTTTCTGGGTCCAAAAGAACCACCCGCCTTGAGCATTGCACATAGAAGTGTCTTAAAACTGGGGACCCTTTACACGCTGCAAAAGGGGCCTGGACAGTCACACACCCAAAAAAACTGCCCAGGCGCCGCGGCGAATATTACGGCGCCCTGAAAGAACACGATGCCAGCCTCACAGCAACGCAGCCAAGTGGCATGGGGCACCATGCGAGCCAGGATCCGCAACATAGAAATTATGATGTCACACCCAAGCCACTTTATCCATGCAGCTGAGAAGAAACGCCGTATAAGATAAACACAAAGCAATCTATATATATATACTGTCCGTCCGACCCCTTGTCTGCAAGAGCGAGGCGTGCGCGAGGGGTGATCAACCGTCATCATTGCCGCTGTCATTGCGCTCCGTTGTCGCGATCCAGCATTGGCGATGCTGGCGCTTGCAGCAAGGCGGGTCGTAATTCCGCGGAGCAGTTGCAATTACGTGGGCAAAAGGTTCAGCTCGCTCTCTCGCTTGGCTCTGTCCATCGTTCTTGGACATAGGAGCCGAAGGCATCCTGTTGCAACGCATTCAAGATCCCAGGGCTTGGCAGGGAACCTTGGGGACGTTGGGGACGCTCCTTGCGATAAGCCCTGACGCAAGCAGTGTCCCCAGCCTCGCCTGTTTGCCTAGAAAAGCAGGTCGTAAATTCCAAGGGGCGCATCATCATCATCATCATCAACATCATCATCATCGTCATCCTGTTCATCATCATCCTGTTCATCAAGGTCATCATCATCATCATCATCATCATCATCATCATCATCATCATCATCATCATCATTGGCGTCGTCGTCATCACCATTGTCTTGTGTAGAATCCGGATGAGACGTTGCAACCCGCTTGCCATGCTGGGGATGCGTAATCGCGACGATCCTCATCATCATCATCATCATCATCATCATCATCATCATCATCATCATCATCATCCTGCTCCTCATCATCCTGTTCGTCAAGGTCATCGTCATCATCATCATCATCATCATCCTGTTCATCAAGGTCATCATCATCATCATCATCATCATCATCATCATCATCATCATCATCATCACTATTATCATCATCATTCTCAGCGGAGAGACACAAGTTCCTGCAGAGAGGGATCATGCATGGCTTTTGGAGCGGTGACAGGACCTTCTGCCGGGGAAGGAAGTATGTCGAGCCCGGTGCCATCTTCCGGAGGTGAACCAACATTGAGCTGCACGCAGGGCCGGAGGAGTACCTACGTCCTATGCCTTCTACCTGCAAAGCTCTGGCGCAAATCGTGTCTTTCATGGGGGTGATGCGCTTGACCCACGAACAAATGCTGCTGAGGGCCCGGTCTACTGCCAATGCAAGGGTGTGGATAGACGGGAATCGTGGGATCCGTGGCGCTGGGGCTCGCCGGAGCCCAAATTCCGGGAGCCCTGCGGGTGAAGAAGCTGAAGCGAGGTGGGCTTGGGAAAGGATCGGAGTCAGACCTACCTCGAGGTCTTCAAGCACGAGAGCCGTGGACTGGGCTGCGAAAGCGGGCCGAGGGTCTAGGCAAGCGATCCATTACACAAGTTTGCATCCGGCCGGTAAGGGTAAACTTTGATGGCTTTATACAGCCATGGGGTGCGCTTTGATACACGACACACAATGGCTCAAGAAACAGCCTGGCGCTACTTGAGTAGCTTTTGCCATTTTCCAATCCATAAAAGGCCAAGTGCGAAAGGGTGAGCCAGAAGCTGGCACTGTACCAAGCAAAGCAACAGTAGGGGAGTAGGGGGAGGTGACAACCAAAAACAATCATGCAACCAAACGCCCTGTCCCCCGCCCCGCCCCCCGTTGGCAAACCGGATCAAACCGGCAAAACCCTCCCAAAGTCGCTCGCGTCGCTCGCGCTGCTCGCGGCTCGCGCCTGGCCGGCGAAGAGCAGGGCCTGGGTGCTGAGCGCAGAGCAGAGGGAGGAGAAGAATGCGCTGGTCACCACCTCCATGCAGGCCGCCAACCCCGCCACCTGGCATGGGAAACTCAATGGAAGTGAAGCGATAAGAAAGAACACTAATTGGGTCTGTCTCCAACAACGGCAACCCGGTTTAACCAAAGGATTCGGCAAAACGCAAATCCTGAAGGACGAGGGTTCGGTGGACTAGGGCCGGGCCCCTTTGGTTTTCTGGAGGCACTGCTTTTGGGGTTTCAAGAAGACACCGAGCCTTCGGATTCTGCAATTTCAGGAACCTTTTCAGGAACCTTTTCAGGAGAAAAGATTTGGAATAGGGGGGCCAAAAACCTAAGAAGCGAAAAGGCGCCCTCAAGAAACAGTGTCGTTTCTCACGTTCTGGCTCGGCCTTCGCCAGAGGCTCCATGTAGAGGGTCGGCAACGACATCACCGGCACCGCCACCACGCTTACTGTGAGTGCAGAAGGCACCAGATATCCCCAAGCGCCCCTGAGAGCAGGGCTCAAAGAAGACACACCCGTGTGCGCCACAGTGTTTTGGACACATCCCAAAAGGCAAATCGACTGTTGCTTCTTCCAAGCTGGTCACAGAGGTGTATACAAACTTCGCTCTAAACCCTACCAGCGAGTAGAACCGTCCAGTAAAACGATACCCTCCGTGTACTTGTCCAAGGGTCCCCTAGAAATGTTAAGGTTGAGTCCAAAATGTTGTTTCTTCCGAGTCTAGAATGGGTCATGGTTTGGGGAGGGAGACGGGGGGGAGGAATGGGCACGTCACGTGTTTGCCTGTGTTGCGCCCAGATTGAAGCTCAAACTTCGAAGCGAAAACTTGCGGGATGCGTCGCGGGAACAAAGACGTTACAGCAAGACGACCAGCCAAGCGCGCGCTTTGCTTCAGGAGCTCAACGCACCAGTTGGCTCGCCCCGAACACTCCACCTCGGTCGCCTTCCGCAGCCATGGACACCAAGGCGGCGAGTTCAGCGAGCTCATGCCGACGGCCAGCGAGCGCTTTGGAGCGAAGTCCTGTGGCAGGAAGCGAAGAGCTCGCCTTGCTTCCTGCCGCCGCCCATGCGAACGCCGTCGTGACACTCGCCCTTCAAGCTGATGGGGCGATGGGGCGAAAGCCGCACCGACGCTCCGGGGTTCAAGCCGCTCCCACGAACCCCCGAAGATCTGACATCCTCCAGGGCACAGGCTGCTGGCCGCGCCACGTTTCATGCTGGGTCTTCTTTCCCAAGCTGGCGGGGGACAGCACAGACCCGTGACCCAAGACGGTGCTGCTTTCTGTTGTCTGCAGCATTCTGCATCAGTATTGCCCTAGCCCTCTAACTTGCGGCTCAAGATTGTCCACCACTTTTTTGACAGCGCGAAGCACGAGGGCAGGTTGTTCATGTCTACAGCGGTGCGAGCGTCGGTGGCAACTAAGAAGCCACTCAACATGTTCTCTTTGCTCCTCAGGGCGAGCTGCCCGCCTCAGGCAAATCGTACGCGGCTTTGAGGCACATTTGTTTAGGTCCACCTCCGATACGATTTGTGCAAAGGCAAAACATATCCGGTTGCCCATGCTCTTTCGAATCTGCGCCTGCGACACATGCTTCCCCCAGTCAAACAGCCTCCCACGGGAAACGGCCTCAAACTCAATGCAAAAAAAGTGCACTGCTCAAACGTCCCGTGATCACCTTTGCAGGGCCTCCCTTCAACTTCACATGAAACCTGATAACTTTCACCTCCCAGGGAATTGTCTTAAAACATCCAGGAATCCATGTTTGTTGTCGGGCTCCAACCTGGAGACTCTGTTGCCACTGAATGGGTTAGTAGGGGAGGGGGTTCGATCTAGTGCTGGATGGATAGACCTTGTGATTTGGGGCCCACCTGTAGACTTCCACTTGAAGAATCGGATCGCTGATCTCAATCACGGAATCGCGGATATGCACAGCGACCCTGACACGTCGTGGGTGTGGAGGCTTTGAGTTAATTTTCATGTTGCTTCATCCAGTCGGATACGATTTTGCTTCCTTCGATGTGGGTAGTGAATGTTAATTGGGGACCCAAAATGGTGGACATCATTTGCATGGGGATTTTCTGACCAGCCACTTTACTGGGGTTCCCTTTAAACAACATGGCCACGCGAGGCGACATATGCTCAACCAAACTGGTATGGCCGGCAGCTCAGACAGCCACAGCTTCACAGGTCCCCGGCTTGGACCTACGCCTTGCAACAATCAGGAGGTCAATCAACCAGGAGGTTGTCCGTCAGGGGTTACATCATTCTGAGAACTATTTGAGGGCGTTCCCACTAACCACCCGCTTTCATGTCATAGTAGCTGCCCCGCTAAAAAGTGGAGGTCTTGTTTAGTTCCTTTGTTCTGAGCTTCTTTTTCCTTTGCGTTCTTCCATCAAAGTCACAGATGGTGAAGGAATGTTGCTTTTCTTGCATGGCTTTGTCCCTAAATGGGGGGTTCGTACCATCCGATGGGCGGGATGGTCCAGTCATTTCCAATTGCACAGGCACGTGATGGCGCCTCCAGATGCCGGTTTTAGATTCGTCACAGCAAGACAAGCTGGAGTCTTCGCAATTCATAGATTCTATCATTTCCCTCTTCCTGCTGAAGTCAGGCGCACGCCTGGCAAAGTGACAAAGGGACTCTCGCAGGGTTCAGTGATGCTCATTGCAAGAAGTTGGCCGCCCTTCGAGTGCACATGGACATTGGACTGAAATGTGTTAAGCGAAGAAAAACACATGCCAGGAATGGTTCAACAGATGCAGCTGCCATGAATTGTTAGGGAAACCTGGATAGGTGTGTGTGTGTGCGTTCTTGTTTGGGTAGTACCTGTTTGGGGTTGTTCTTCCGGGAATTCGAAGAAGCAACGACCCCATTTGCGAAAACCCTTGTCATTGACCTGCCCCCACATCAGACATGATGACATTATTTTAGACCGCGGTTGGCCCCCCCCCCCCCCGCGAAATTCAACCTATAGGGTAGTGATCTAGTGTTTTGTTTTTGGTTAATGCAATTCCCAACATGATGGTTTGTCCCTTTGGGGCCCTCATGATTTTCAGTCACAGCAGGGCGAAAGTAGATTGCACATTCCTTTGTTTGAGAAAGGATGACTCAATTTCAGTGGGGGAGTTGCGTCGATCCCAAAATACGCATGTTTTCCAGAGTTTCCCTTTTTGAGGAATCAAGCGCTGGGTTTTTGCGCTGACCTTGGGATAGGCCAAACATGGAACGGAACCTGCTCAGGGGATAAGTCCCTTAAGAGAACGCCTTCGAGGTCAGCAAATGGACCCCATGCCGGTCCCTCAGCCATCGATGCGAACAGGAGTCAGGGTCAGAATGATGGCACGCCTGTACTGGAATCATGATGCCCCTGTAAATGTCAAACAAGCCATGGTTTCAACCATCGTGATGCAGGATTTCTAGGGGATTTCAACCAAACAAGCCATGATGTTCCCCTGTAAATGCCTAGAGAGCCTGGAATCATGGTTTCCTTGGTTTCAAAATCGTGCAGGATTTCGTCCATCCACAGTTGGTTGCTCGGTCACGTCCGGTGCCGTGCAGCGCTGAGTCCGCCTGTGGCGTATGCACGAAGAAGAAAGCGCCGAAAAATCCACAGTAGCTTGAGGATGTCGCCCTGTTTTCGGCCCAGTTCAACTTGGGTCCCTCGATTTTCCGGATGCATTGCACAGGCCCAAAACTTTGACTGGACGTCAGTTTCCGACCACCCCTAGTCGTGCATCCTTTGGGGGGCTACTTTCTTCGAAGATACCACCTTTAACATAGTTGTGTTTTATGATTATGATTTACTCATATGTATATATATATATTGTAAGTTGAATAATTTGATGATTTAGTGATTTATGTACTTACGTATTGGTCATTGTTATGTTGATTGATTCATTTATTCATGTTGGATTTATTTAGGGTCGTCTACAATGAATTAGCCGTTTTAACCACGTTTCCTGACGTTCGGCATGGTTTAAGTATATTTGATTCGGGTGCCAGATAGATATGATATGGTGTTCAATCCGGGCCGCAGATTCATTAATGAAACGGGAGGCGTTGTTATCAGTGCTCAGCATGTGTGCGTGTGTGTTTGTGTCTCTGTGTATCTCTGTGTGGCTCTGTAAGCCTTTGCGTGTCTCTGTGTGTCTCTGTGTTTCTCTTTATTCTATATGTGTTGTTGTTTGTGTGTATGTGTTTGTGTATGTCTCGGCGTGTTTGTGCGTGTGTGTGTGCGGAGTCTCAGAATACCCTGAGACCAAATGCAGGGGGATGGGGCAGGCCTGTGGAGCTCCATCTGACAAAGCTCTCCACAGTGGCCTGAGGATATCACCAGGGACGCCTGGTGACGTACCTGCTTTACATTTGAGCCACAACTTCTCGTGATGTTGGAGGTTTTGCTTTTGCAAGACCAGTCGGCTCTCGTGTATGATGTGTTTTCGCTGCTTGTTACAGATTACACGTCAGCTTGTGTCGAATCTGGCCCTCACCTTCTTGCTCGATTTACTCAAACTTCGTGTCTGCCCCTTGTGGGATTTAAGTGTGTCTCTGCTGCGTGTTTGTGTGTGGGTGCGTGCGCGCGCGCGCCTGCGTGCGTGGGTGTGCGTGTGGAGGGTACGGGTGTCGGGTCGGAAGCGATACCAAACGGCAACCGCCCATGTGGGGGAACCCCTGATAATGGGCCGCAAAAAATGGGTGGTGTTGGTTTAAAGCAAGCTGAAAAAGAGCACCAGCTCAAAACGATTAACCACATGTGTATGTATACATATATGGGGGTTGTTGAGGGTGCCATTTGTTTGATTGGTTTAAAGGGCTGTCCGCAGGAACGCCCATAGATTTTGCGGGTACCCCGAAACCGAACCGATGCCCAGCCAGGGCGGCGATGGGCTACCCGCGCAAGCCCAAGGAAGCTTGTTTCCTCGACGTCCCTATCACACTCCAGGATTGACCAAATGGATCCTTTGGGTTGCCACCCCCACGCCAAGGCGGCAAGCAAAAAACACAAATCGAAAGAGGCCTTGGCGTGCTGGAACCACAAGATGTTACATTTAGGCGTTGAAGACCCTTTGTTCAGTGCCTGGAAGCCAAAGAAAATACGCGGTTTTCAGAATGGATTTTTGTGGACTAGTGTTACCTAGGACCTTTTCTTGTTTGGGAAAGCAAACGGTGATAGACAAAAAGGAACAAATCAAAGGGGCTGGAAAATGCGCATCCCTAAAAAGCCTTGCTCCTATAACAGTTGGGCTTTGTGGTTTGGACCGTACCCGTCCCTTTTGGTTTCGGAAGGAACTAAATTGCGCCACTCCAAATATCCAATTCAGGGTTGCCTGATGTCTCACTTGTTTGCTTTGCCACAAGCTGAGGTGTGTCTGGCCGGTTCTCACCTGACTATGGTGCCCGTTTTCGGGCCCCAAGAACCCGTGGTCGCTCTTTCATTGAACCGCAAGGTATCCACCAGAGTTGCTGAGAACTCTCTTTTTCTCTCGCTCTCTCCTCTGATTTCTGTTTCTTTCTGACCTAATGTTTGCAAAACCGCCTTCGCAGTTCCTTACCGTTGGACAAATTTCATTTGGGAGATGGGAGGGTAGCGCAAAATCGACAGGTGTTTCGGAGCCTCCGATTCCTCTCACTCAAATAACCCTTTTGTTTGCCGATGTTCGGTCGCACCCTTGAAAGCCGGTTGCTCAGAGGGTATGTGAACACCGGCACTTTCGGCTGATGCAGTTCGTTGCCAAGGTTCAAGAAGTCAATCTTGTCAGTTGTTGTTTTGGCGGGGGCTGCGCTTAAGGTTTGTTCCCATGGTTGTCCAACCTCCCCCTTGAGAGAGGGACCCCCCGAGAAGAAAAAAAACTCCGCAGTGGCTAAAGCCGTCGCTTGGAACATTTCGTCGGATTTGCGTGGCAAGGGATCTTCGAGGCAAGGGATCAGCTTCGATCCGAAGGTTCTACGAGTACAGCATGATGAACCCGTACGGCTACGACATGGGCGCCATGTACAACGCCATGCCAGGTTCTGCTTCCGGTTTTACTTGGGAATGGGTACAAAGGAATGCCCGATTGGATAGTGCACTGGGTCCCGGTCTGGATGTTATAGTTGTTTCACTACGCCCAAAATGGTGGACGTTGGGCCCGTCTCGGCATATCTTGGTGGATGCCCTTATTGCTTAAGTAAATCAACCAGAAACCATGGTGAAATGTTCAAGGTTGTCCTTGTTCCCTACTTGCAAAAAGTTTGGGGCATCCACCGAACCAAAAGCCAATTGGGTTTCCGGCGCGGCTCACATCAGCAACGGTCGTATTGCAGTGGTTTTTGCTGGTTTATTGGTATTTGGGGTAGGCCCTATTGGTCTACAACAAGAGCCTGTGTTTGTTTTTCCCTCGGCCAATCTGATCCATTTTGGTGAGCCAACGGTTTCTGTGGGCTCGCTTGTATGGGGCACTGAGGGTAGGAGTGTGAACCTTTGCTGCGCCTGGAAAGTGGGAAGCAACTACGTAGCTGACCTGAGACGAAGCACAAACACGCCGTGCATGTACCAGAGCATTGCTGGGGAGCTTTAACTTGCTTTGCATCTTCTGCCATGGTACCTTTCTCAGGTCGTTCTTGAAGGGAAGCCAAAACTGGTTCTCAGGGAATGGGAATGAATCCAGGGATTCCCGAAAGGAAAGCAGCGGTCGGAGGGTTTTTCTTGGGGTCTTAGGTCATCCATTTCTCAGGGCTAGGACGCAGCAAGAGGAGGAGAAACCGCGCCACGTTTGGGGGGGACCCCACCGTTTTAACGAGTCCGAGGTACGGCCAGCCCAGCATGTTCAACGGCTTTTCCATGGCCGGCCTGGCGCGGTTAATTCTCCGCATCGCTTTCGGGATGTTCTCGGTCCAAGTCGAATCAAGCTTTTGATCGCTGCCTTGATTCATTGACTCATGTGTGCTTTGGTCAAAAGACCGGTTCCTTTACTTGAAACGGTCGTCCACCTGGTAGTAGTGGATCCGCAACACGCATTGGAATGATTCCTACTGAGAGAACCATAACCGACATGCTGCGATCCGTTTTTTTTTTTCCGTTTCATCCCCCGGTGGAGTATGGAAGAGTATCCCGAATGAAGCGGCCCCTCCCCGCACAGAGTACCTCTGCACAGGTAACGATGGAGGATGATGGAGGGATTTGGTCCCTTACATATTTCCCAGTTCGGGCTAGGCCGATTTTTTTCATCAGCCTGATCAAACTATGCTGGACTTTGCAATCGGCTCCCCCTACTAGTAAATCCACCCCCACCCACCCCACCCCCCCCCCCCCCCAATTTTTCAGGCCAAAAGCCAAAGAAAGATCGCTTCCCGTTTACTTTTAGTTTTGCTAAACCAAAACTACTTAACTCCTGACAAACTGCTATCAGCCCTTATTCAGGGTGCTTTCAGCATGTCCCTTCTTTTAATCGTAAACTCAAATTGTAAGTTGTGCCTTTGATATGTTTTTTGAAGACAAAAAGTCTGCCTCGAACAATTTTTGGACCAATATTCCTTCCTGAGCAGATTGCAACTTTGACAGTTGTTGCGCCCAGACCCCTTTGGGATGAGGACTGTAGCGGAAACCCCACGCGCTGGGACCCAAAACCTGCCAACCCGCTGCCACGGCCTACGACCAAGTTGAAGATCTCAAATGTCCAGTGACTTTTTCGGCACTGCTTGGTTCAACACGACCGTCTTGTTCAAATCCATCTCCCAGCCTGACATCAAGCCCGGAAAACACCAAGTCCGCCACTGCAGAAGGCAGCGTGCAAAGAACGCCGAGCCGCGCGACATCCGCCACCTTGGATCTCAGCTCTTGCTTCGGGGCCCGAAATTCTGAACCTGAGCAGGTTTACAGCAAAGCGCTGCCGGCGCGCTGCAAAGATTGAGACTGGGAAACGCACTTGAAGAGACCAGAAGGTAGGCATGCGAGCAAAGCTTCACAATGGGCCGGCCAACAGGGAAGTCCTTGTTCACAAACCATTGGGGAGGCTCAAATGTGTCCCGTGGGTAAAACCTTAACAACTGATCATTACTCAGCCGCAGTGCCGTCCAGAATGTAATTCTGCAGCTGGCACGCCGCGAACATGCAGATCATGACCCCCGCGATCGCACAGCAAGTGGCAGGCAGGCGCTGGTGGTAGATTTCCAGGACAAAGCTCACGTTGGATAAGAAGCTGAAGTAACAGGAATAAAACAGCCTTGCACCGCGGCTTTCGTTCTGGGCTGTTTAGACGAATTCGGGACCCATTTTATTGTACCCTGGCGATCCCGAGCCCCGAATCCTGCATCCTGAAAGTGCGGCTGGGATTCGTTTGTCCAAAGAAGTGCAGCGTTTTCGATAGCCTCTGATTCGTGTCGAGTTCTCGGATTCGTTTGCACATCTAACATGGCGCTTGCGCCGGTCAGGCTGTGCTTCGATCAGACGATATGATCAAAACCTCTTGGCTTGGATCTCTAAATGGGAATCGTTATGGTTGAGGATCAACCGTGGCCAGGACGCCATCCCTAGCCCGGGATGTTCATGCCGGCCACCTCCGATGCCACTTAGACTTGAGCATGCAAAAACTTCTCACCTACCACTCCCGAGTCCAGCCTAAACCCTCTGGAACATACTAAGTGGCCAATATTGCTTTCAGAAAGACCCGCTTGTGGTGCAACAGTTGCTTTTTGTGACTTGACAAAAGTAGACGTTTTAGAAGTAGACGTTTGTGTTCTTGGATAAAGACAATCAGGAGATTTATGCTTTGAACTCAAGTTGCTCTTCATTGTCTGCTGTAGGGAGACGTGACTACTATAGCATTGCGACCACTGGCATGATTCTGTTCCTCCCCGCGGTGTTTGCTGCATGTATGCCTTGGTAGCGCTGCTGGCAAGTCGGAGTTCCTCGTATTTCTTCGCACGCTGCTTGCAGCTGGTTCACTTGCTCTTGCCTCTGCGAATGCCTTTGCCCCGGCTCTGGCCGCTGTTCTTGCCCTTGCTCTCGGTCTTTTGACCTTGCTTTGTCCGTTTGCTTTGCTCTACGCCGAGATTTTTTTACACTGCATCTATCATCTCTGCTGCATCTGCTGCATGTACTGCGTCAACTGCTTTGCCTGCGTCCACTGCTTCTCTTGCTGATTCATGTTGCTTATTAGCTTGCTTCGTGTAGCTCATGTTAATTGCTGCTGCTCTGGACTGCGACTATGCCTAGTCTCGTATTCAACTAGTGGTGCGTGTTGTCATGTGTCAAGAGCTGGCACTGCCATGTCCCACCACTCGCAAGGAGACTCTGAATCTGACAAGACACCCTGTGGAGACAATGAGGCAGTTCTGACGCCAATCGGAAGTGACGACTGCCAAATCTTCCAGGAAGGGGTGGCCGCAATGGTCTGGAGCACTTTCAGGTAACATCATATAGGCCAAGACCAGCAGGCAGCCTTCACCGCTGGCATTTGCAGTTCATGGAATTGCACTGGTTCAGCTACAAGCCCAACTGAATATCGGAACTTGCCAAGGTCAGTCAAGCTTCCCCAACCAAGCACCAAAACCAGGAAGTCGACTCTCCAGCTCAAAGACATTGCAACAACGCCCCCGAGTAAAGGCCCTGCCATGTTAAAGAAGATGCAAGTAATCCAAAATGCGGAGTAAACTTGGTAACGCTCGTCAGCATCATCGCACCAGTCCTTCGCAACTTCTTTAGTCCAAAACCAAAAGCTCGATTTTCAAAAAGCCGATGAAATGAACAGCACAGTAGAAAGTTGCTGGCCACTGAGTCTCTCTGATGATTGCGAAACTCAGGCACTCCACTGCTTCACTCAGCCCCTGCAGGGCGCGCGCCAAAAAGAACCAAGTCATCTCTGTGGTCAGCATGCCTGGACTGAGATGGTCGCAATGCCAAGAAAAAGCATTTGCTTTTCGCGCCCATTCGAATAATCACAACTAAGGAGATCCCCACTTTGTTTGCCTGTCTTTAAAGAACGTCCCGAAGGGAGCAAACTCGTTTTGACTTGCTCTCGGTTTCGGAACCCGATCTGCACCGAGGTGCAGGACACCGATGTCAGCAAAGCCAAAAGTAGGCAGCCCAGGACACAGGGCCGGCGCCCTACACGATCGGAGATCGGCGCAATGATGAGACATCCAACCGCCTTCCTGGCGGTCAAAACGGGGACCACTGGCCTACGCCTTCCTGTTTGCCTTAAAAAGAAGAGCCCGAAAGTCTTTTCTGAAAGGCCGTGTGTATGCCGTGATTGTGCTTTCCGTGCACGTTTGTTGGCTTGTGCGCTCATTGTGCCCTAATTCCCACGCATTCTAGCCAACATGGGTCCTTCTCCTTGGTTTTCCCGCCTGTTTCAAGCAACTGCTTTCTGCGCGCGACCGTATTTTCTTCCCTTTGTATGCTAACGTGTTGCTGGCATGATGTTGGCTCGTGCAATCGTTGACGAGTGTGCCCATTGGACATTCCAGTTCACGAGGTATTTCTGCAATGCAAGAAAAAACGCTTAAATATGCTTACTTAGGCTTTACTTTCGGATTGTAGCGAAAAGCAGGTCACTTATACATCGCCTATTCCAACACATCGCACGGCAGTTCCAATTACGGCCTCGTATCTTGTTTATGTGGGTTTTCTTGCATTTGTTAAGGCCTTAATCATTCACGAATGGAACTGGCTGTGCTTCACCCTCGTTTTGATGAGGGGGGCGATTGGTGGACATGCCAACAACAAACAAACAGCCAACCAACACAAAACAAAACTAATCAGGGGCTCATGCAGTCCGTGTTTGCCCCGCACTGTGTAGGCAATGTAGCAGGTCAGGTGCCATCAGGCACTGTGAGCTAGCTCTCTGGCACGAAAGAGCGGAATAGCCTTCGCCAAGGCTGTCAGCGCTGAAAGAGAGACGCCTGCGCAGGCCAAGGTCCTATTGCATCCAGGCCACCTTTGAACTACCTTTGACGCCACGTTCATCGCGCACTGCAAGAAGAAGTCAAGGGCTACATTCGCGAAAATGCACCACCAGCGGGGCACACGGAGCAGCCGACACTGAACCTGCCTGCTGCCGTTCCATTTTGAACATGTACATGGGGCCACTTGGGGCAAAGCCAGCTGGGCGTTTGGAAAGCCAAGTTCGCCTCCAACCTGCGCAGCTTGTCAGAACTCCAAAATGTCGTTTTGGAGGCCTCGGTCGCGACCGCCGATCGCGGCTGCGCGCGCGGTCGCCCCGGCCGTGGACTGTGGCCCCGAACGAGGTTTCGTTGTCGCGCAAATGATTCTCTGGGGCTGATCTTTGCGGGCCTCTTCCCCCAAAGATTGGGGGAGACAGGAATCCTCTTGTTGGTGACCGTGTAGTTGTGGAACGGATTCTCCACAAGGTCATAGGTCTGGCGCGTAGTCCTTCGGACAAGCATGTGTAGATGCTCCTGAGTCGATCAACAGGTGGTGGTATGACTTGAAGTTGGAGTACATGATGTAATTTTTAAATAATGTCCTCAATCTTCTTTCCTTTGCTGTTGTGTTGCTGCTGCTATGTCGAAGTGTAGCTGTGTGGTGTCTTCTTGTAGGAATTGTTGAAAGCTCCTGCTGTGGTCGTTCCATGATGTTGTGTGTGTTGTTTTCTTGCCAAGTAGTGATTTGGATTTGTGCTTGTGTAGTCGTGACTTTGCTTGTCTGATGTGTCCAACGGTGAGGTGTGACTCGTTGATGCCTCCAATGTAGTTTGCTGTGTCCTCATAGCTGTTGTCATTCCAATCCCATCTGTTGTCATAGTTGTAGTCGTTCCAGTTCCCCTCCATGTAGTTTACGTGTTGTCCTTCTTCTCCTTCGTAGTACCAGTCCCAGGTGTCGTTCACATCCTGAGGTAGTTCTTCATTGTTGTCATGATCTGCTTGTTCTTGTTCTAGTGGATGTAGTTCTTCTCCTTCTCCTATGTGCCATACTGGCACTCTGCAGTCTTGTGCCCAGTGGCCGTGCTTGCCACATCGATGGCATGTTGTGTAGTTGTTGTTTCCTTTGGCCTTTGTAGCCTTTGCTTGATCCATATCCTTTGGATCCTGAGTAGCCTTTTCCTTTGCTCTTGTTGTATCCTCCTCTGTTGTAGTTTCCTTTGTTGCCTTTGTCGAATCCTTTGTAGTGTCCTTTACTCCTGTACTTGCCTTTGCCGTTGCTTCCCTTGTAGTTGCCTTTTCTTTTTCTTTTGCCTTTGTAGTTTCTTCCTTTCCTCCACATCCATTGGTGCAGCTCCTCCATTGTAGTTTGTTCCTACTGCTGAGGTCGATCTCGAGAAGGCTGAAATCGTCTTGTAGTAGTCCAGGATGACTGCTCTGGTCTCGATGTAGTTCGTGATCTGTCCAGCTCGCAGTTGGAGATGTTGCTGCAGTGCTCCTTTGGTTTTGTTGAGTAGCATTGCTATTTTGATTCCATCTGGTATACTGTGCCGTTGTCTTTCTCGTGGCGGTTGATGTCGGATTCCCATTGTAGGAATTGTTCTTCAAACTGCGCTTCGTTGAATGTAGGTTCCAGTAGTTTGGTAAGGTGGCCAACGCTTCTTGTTCCTACTGGTAGGCTGAACCTGTTGTGTAGGAGTCTCAGTGTTTCACATCCGTTTGCGTTGTAGCGGTTTTGCCTTACTACTGTAGCTGCTGCTCCCTGACAGATGTTGATGAGGATGTAGTGTAGATCTCTGGAGAGGTCTACTGCTTTGCTTGCTTGTGTAGGGTCGAGTATGTGTGTTCTGATGTCTGTGTCCTCAATCTGTCGTGTAGCTAGTAGCCACACTTGTGCTAGCTGTAGCACCAGGTCGAAGTCTCGGTCTATGAGGCCGAAGTATGCTTGTAGTTTGAACAGCCATTCTTCATACTGGGAGTAGTCACCAGTGAAGAAGGGTGGTGGCAGTTTGTATCTATGTAGTCTCTGAACGTCGTTGTCTTGTTCTGTTCCTGCTCCCGTAGTCGTGGCTCCTACTGTGTCTGCTGTTGGCCCGTTCTCTGCTCCTGTAGTTTGTTGTGCTGAGGCTGATGCTGCTTCTCCTGACATGTCGTAGTAGTTTGGCATGTGACTGCTCTTGCTGTGGTTGTAGTACTTACTGCTTACTGGAGCTCCCTTATGTTTAGGATCTCAGCTCCGCTACCACGTTAAAATCGGTTGCTACTTTTACTTACAAGTGCAAGTGCTGTAGTGTTCAAACAGTCAACCAATGTAGTCTGCAGCTGCCAACCTTTTGACTCATGCGATGTAGTGAGCTCAAGGCCTGCAGTAGTGGACATACATGCAACACAAATGCAGGAAGTCTCTCTCTCTTTCTCTCTGCTTCTCTCTGTGTTTCTTTTTTCTCTCCCCCTCCCTCCCCTCCCCTCCCCTCCCACTCCCCTCCCGTCGCAAATGCCCTTCAGCACTGCGCACGCGCCAGCCACGTGGCTAGCACGCACAATCACGCGCGCCCATACAGCAGCGCGCGCCGCATTCAGAAAACTGGCACAGGACTGCAGCGCCTCCGTTTAACTGAGCTCAAGGAAATGGCTTGCTGGGTCTCTTTCACGTCGGCTTGCACACAGCGGGCTGCCCCGCCAAGCAGCGGCCAGTGGCTGGATTCCGGCCACCGCAAACTGCCCAGTGAGGCGCCAGGGTCTCGCTTGCTGTCTGCAACACGATCTGACTGATTGATTCTTTAGGCGACGTCATTCCCCAAGCTCTTGTCCTTCGCTTTTTCACAGGGTCGTCTACACTACCTCCAACCTCTACGTTGCCTGACACTGGCAGCTTTGCACAAGGTCCCCACGCGCAAGCACCAGTCTCTACGCACACGAACTGGGACAACCCAATCCACCAGCAGAACTGCGCTTGGACGTGCTGGCCAACATTTACTTCAACCTCCCGACACATGGGTGCCTGCGGAAGGATTTCGTGGGCGACGACAGCATGTGCACGACCTGCACCCTCTTGTCTATGAGGCGGTGTCCACGCACAGCTGTGTCGCTTTGATCTTCTTCTTCTGGCGCGCTTCCTCCATCTCTCCGCGCCATGCAGCTTTGCTACTTCCTGTGGAAAAGACCAGCACTACGGTGGTCAAGACGATCAACCGATTACCTGCCGGACATGCCCTGCTGCGCTTCACTGATGCCACGATGCCTTTGCTTCTGCACAAACTGAGTTCCTGTTTGATCCTGAGAGTAACAAAGAAGGGCAGTCCCAGAGAAGGAGAAACGGGGCAATGTTCAGGAGACTGCTTGGGAAGTACAGCAGAGCACCAAGACGCTTGCAGAAACCAACTTCAATGAGGACGACGGTGCAGACGACGCTGAAACGGGCGAGAGTGGTGGCTTCACGGATGTTGAAGCAGCGCATGATGATGATTATTCATTCTTTGATGAGGGGCAAGGCGATTCCCAGAGCGTGTCATATCACTGCCAAGCGAAAGCTGTGCGCTTGGACGAAGCTCCAGAAGCGCGATACATTGCCGGCTTTGTTGCGAGAACCATGTATGAATTTTGGCCACAGTTCGATCGGAACGAACTGAACGAGCTATCAGAGGAGTGTGTGTGCAACTTAACTGCACGCCTTGCTTGTAGCAAAAGAAACCTAACGCCTGCAAGATATAACAAAGTGGCTGCTTCATAGACAGCATTTTCACGGTTGAGTACGTATCTCCCTGGTTATCACACAGCTGCGAAAATTGTAAGACGCATCGCCCAGACTTTTGTTCACAAGCTTCAGTCTGCAACATCAAAAGAACCACTGAGCGAGTACTACCCGCCTGAGGTCAAGGGCGTTGGTCCAACTACTGCGGCGACAACGTCAGAAGCAAACTGATGTTCAAACGTAGAGGCGCGGATGGAGTAGCCCCCCGTCCTCGATGATTTGAGAAGAAATCATCGAGGCTGAGCTAATTCAGGAATTGGACCCAAAAAGAGGCCGGCGTGGTGCTTCCAACACGAAGCCGGAGGTGCTTCCAAGAAAAAGTCAAAAGCCAATCCCAGAAGGTTGTTGGTCAATACATTATGTGTAAGATGTTCAGAGCTGCTGAGGCACTGGGACTGAAACGCGAGCACCTACGACCAAGTGCGGCGGAAGGAATGATGCCGATCGGAGGCATCAGATTCAAAATAATCGGGCTCGCATTTAACTGAAAATCAAGGCTCTCGACCGGTGAGAGAGATAA